GCAAATATAATAAAAAGGCAGAGGCATCAGTCTGCTGCAGATACACCTTGAGGTGTACCTGCACATTGTTTTAAACTGTCTGTACACTCGAGTGCTGCTTCAATGTGGGAAGTAGCTGTGGGTCTCTCTGTGTTTTTCTCTTTATATTTAGAGGTGTACAGACACCTGCAGGCCTCTGCTGGCTACTAACTCTACTCCCTAGCCCCTTATTGTAGAGTTAAGAAGCAGCACGTAGCTGCTTCTGCTGCTGCATTCAAATGGATTAAGTGCAGCACGCAGCGGCCTTCGCTCTCATACAGAGCGAACCAGAATAAAATAAGACGCACTAGAAAGACGAGAGAGTCAGTCGCTAGCTAGCTAGCTAGCTAGCTAGCTAGCCAGCTAGTTATTCAAGCCTTGGCTAGCTAGCTAGGTAGCTAGCTAGCTAGCCAAGAAGACGGTTAGCTGCGCCTCTGGCCAACGCACAGCCGCTGGCACGCGGGTGAAGCGCCCCCGTGCTGCTGCTGAGAGCAAGACAGCGGGTGTCCCTCAAAATAAGCTCTCAGCAGCAGCAACGGGGGCTTCTTCCCTAGGTGCTAGCTAGCTAGCAGTTAGAAGCTAGCTAGCTACTACTGTCAACGAGCTGTGCGCGCGACGCAGAGTTGGGTTTATTCCAGTCCCACGGTGCCCTCCTCTTTGCTGGCAGCAGTCACTTCAACCTTCGGTAGGGGCTGCTGCAGCTGCTGCTGCTGCTGTTTCTGCTGCAGCTGCTGCTGTTGATGCTGCTGCGGCAGCTGCTGCTGTTTCTGCGGCAGCTGCTGCTGTTGATGCTGCAGTTGCTGCTGTTGCCGCTGCTGCTGCTGCAGTTGCTGCTGTTGCTGCTGCTGCGGCAGCTGCTGCTGTTTCTGCGGCAGCTGCTGCTGTTTCTGCTGCAGCTACTGCTGTTGCCGCTGCTGCTGCTGCAGTTGCTGCTGTTGCTGCTACTGCAGCCGCTGCTGTTGTTGCTGCTGCTGTTGCAGCAGCAGCTGTCGTTGCTGCTGCTGCATGGAGGGGACAGTTACAGACAAACAAGCCAACAAAGCAAAGGAGACACTAACGGGCCCCACTCGGCATGCAGAAAGAAAGCCCCAACTACAAATGCCAAGAGAGACACAATGCTTCCCCCCTTCAAGCCAATTCAAATACAAAGGGGGGGACTCCGGGTGTACGTACACTCCACGAGGAAAAAGATGCAGAGACACCCTCAATATATAAAAGAAGCCAAAGCCAAAACGAAAAGAGACAGACATTTACCCCACAATTTCAAAAGGGGGAGTCGCACGTTCTATACACGGCGCATTCTCCACGGGGGCCTCAGTTAAGTGAACGCATGCATGCATGCATGCATGCATATACATGCATGCATGCATGCATGCAAGCATACTGAAGCCCCGAACACTAAAGCGGGACAAGACAACAAAACCCTCAAACAGACATCACAAATTAGCGTGGAGTCGAGACACCTGAGACCCCACAGCAAAGCCGGCGGCAGCCACTGTAACCCAAGGAGACAGAAAGTGTGAAGTAAAGAAAGCTTTACGCGAGCTTTCATGCACAACAAAACCCGCAGGGGCCAAAACAATAAATGCCGTGTGCGTCTCCACTAGGTTAGCCATGCATGCATGCATGCATGCATATGCATATGCATGCATGCATATGCATGCATGCATATGCATGCATACATATGCATGCATACATATAAATGCATACATACATGCATGCATGCATGCATACATATAAATGCATACATGCATGCATGCATGCATGCATATACATGCATGCATGCATATACATGCACACATCTCTCTGTCTGTATTTCCCCCTCAAACCGCTGTCACCTCAGCCTCTCCTTGCGCCTTGAACCTCCATCCTGATCCTCTCTCGCATATCTACTACTGAACATGCACAGCCTGCTGCTGCTGCTGCTGCAATTGCTGCTGCTGCTGCAGTTGCTGCTGGCCCCCTCCATCTTTTTCTGTGTGGGGTTTGTGTTTGAGGTTGTGGGGCCACTGGGTGTGTGGGCCTGCTTGACCCCCCGCTCCTGCTGCTGCTGCTGCTGCTGCTGCGTCTTTCTGGATGAGTTTGCCTTTAGCCGCCTCCTCCTGCGCAAGCTGCTGCTGCCTCGCTAGAGCCTGACAGCGAACGAGACTGTTTGCATTTTGCTGCACTGCTAGCAGCACTTGTCTATGATGTGGCTGCACTAAGCTATGCTGCACCCAATCCGCTATCAGGCGCTCAGGGAGACAGTCTCCTGCAGGTGCTGCTCCCGCGGGGGCTGTGCTGCGCTGCAGCAAGATACGTTTAACACTCAGCCACTTCTGCAGCATTAAGAACTGGCATCTACGCACAAGACGGAAGGAGGCGCTGCCCCCTGTTGCAACAACAGCAGCAGCAGCAGCACCCAGCGCTTCCTGAAGCTCCACAGGGAAAGAAGAAGAACCCCCAGAGTGAAACATTGCTAGCTGTGCTGCTGCTGCTGCTACTGTTGAGGGCTTAAACAGCAAACTTATATTCCTGTCGAGCAAAGCTAACCGAACAAACAGCTGGGCTACCTGCCGAGACACATCAACGCGGCTGCTGCCACTAACGCGCAGCGACAAAGCAGCAGACTCTGCAACAGCAGGAGCTGCACCCCGGCATATCAGAGCAGCAGCAAATGGATTTGCATGCGCAAAGTCCCCTGCCCCTGTTGCTGCTGCTGCTGCTGCTGCTGCTGCACCTGCATTGGGTGCTGTTGCCTGAGGCCCGTCTGTCTTCGTTGAGGGTACGGCTTCGTGCTGCTGCTGCTGCTGCTGCTGCCCTTTGCTGCTGTGCGTTTCTGCTCCGTTTGTATCTGGAGATTCTGCTGCATCTTTGTCTGCCGTTGTCGCCGTTGCTGCTGCTGCTGCTGATGTTGCTGTTGCAGCAGCACTTGCTGCAGCAGCCCTGCGCAGCGCAGATCTGTAGCGGGCCGTACCGAAGAGATAAGCCACATTGAGGAGACTCTCTGCTAGCTCTGAGGTAGGGGCAACAGCAATATTACCTGAGGGAGAGATATAAGCAACAATAATGCGCTCAATATGCAGCAGCTTCCCCTGTAGAGACTCTGCAAACCCAGAGCCTGAAGGCCAGGCGCTGCGCAGCATACCCGCAGTATTCTGTCTCCACGCCTCGAGAATAGCAGCATAATCTGTAGAAGTTATTGCCTCTAAACGATCTGCAAACCCTAAACAAGTGATAGCTATTAGCTGGTTCAGCAGCAAAGGGCTCAATCCCCCTCGCCCAGAGAGACCCCGTAAAGGGTGCTGCTTCCTCTCTGCACTCGCACCGTACACAACATCTGCTCTATGTATCACAGCCATTATTCTATCAAACAGTTGGCAAGCAACGCCTACAACAGCAGCAGCACGCGGGTCTAGAGAGTCTTGAGGCTTGCTATGGGGCCCTGCAGCAGAACCCTGCTCCGCCAGCTGTACAGCCACCTTGTTGATGATGCACATTATCAAATCCCTCGCCTCTGGAGTTAAACGTCTGCTCCCTTTTAAATAATCTCCTGGGTGTGCTTTATCTGCACGGAAGGCCTCCTGACAATAGCTGCTCTGCGCTGTACGCGAGTTATGATGATTGTCTTGCCCGTAGTCTCGGCTGTATGCGCAGCTTACATCAGAGAGAAACAAACGACAACGCTGCGTTAGACGCCACGGCTCCTCCAGCAAGGGCTTCTTTCCCTCTCCCCCCTCTGGAAGCAGCAGCGCCGAGGGGCCCCTGCGGGGGGGCCCCTCGCCTTGAGCGGTTTTAGAAGGCAGCAGCGGGCTCTGCAGCTGCAGCTTCGTCTCCTTCAGGTTCTGCAGACCCTTCTTGCATGCGCTGGATGCAGCAGGAGACTCACCCGCAGGAGACAGCAGCACCTTCGGTCCCGCAGCAGCACCCTCGTTACCTGCTTTTAAGGCTAAGACAGCGCGGCCTTTTCCCCCTTCAAGTGCAGCAGCATACCCTGTCTTCTGAGTCGCTGCTGCAAAAGAAGCTGTTCCTGCCTGCGCATGCGCTCGACTCGCAGCAGCAGCAAGACCCGCAAAAGGAGCTGCTGCTGCTGCTGCTGCAGTAGCAGCAGCAGCAGCAGCGCGGGAAACAGCGCCACCAGACACCCCCGACGAAACACCCCCCTGCGGCCGAGAGTGCTTCAGCGGACGTCCTAAGGCTCCTCCTGAGGCTGTCTGCTCACAGCCCTCAGAAGAACAACCTAAAGCTGGAAGCTCCGCTGTCTCTCTAGATCGCTTGCAAGCAGCTGCTGCGGCAGAAGCAGGGGCGCAGCAGGCAGCAGACTGCTGCTGCTGCTGCTCCTGCGGGGGGTTTGTAGCGGACATCGTGGAGAGCAGGAAGGCGCGGAAAGACGGAGATGGAGGAGGAGGGAGAAAGTGTTGAACGAAGCTGAAACCTGTACGTTGCTTGGGAGGCAGGCTCACGTAGGTAGCAGCTGTCTAGACACCCCGAGTCCCCGCGAAGGGAGACACACTCCTCGCCCTGGCGCCTCCTCAGAGCCTCTCCACCTGTGCCGATGCAGGAGTTTGATTTGCACTTACAAGACACAAGTTGAAAGGGCGCCAGATAGGGGCAAATGCGTCGATGGGGTGCAGCGGCAGCTGCAGAAAACTCCAAGGAAGACGCCCAAAAGGAGGCACAGCGATGGCTACAAAGAGAACATATCTACAGCGGAATAGGCATTGCAATTAGAGGCAAATTGCGGCAGAAAAAGACGGAAAGATGGAAACAAATTACGTATTGAATTGCTGCAAAGAAACGCAAAACGCGGCGGGCGGCCCCCCTAAGAAGGTGAGAGTTCGATTGACACCGCGGCTCTACTGGCCAAATAAACAAAGTTGCAAAGAGAAACTGAGGAGAAAATGTGACAAAGGGCAAGATATAAACATCCAAGCGGTCAGACTCCGGGATACAGAGCGGAAATATACGGCGGCCCGCCCGCGCCAGCCGACCACAGAGCGCCTGCCGCCTCACAGCAACGCCAAGAGAAGACGAATGACAAAACAGAGAAAATGTAATTACTTTCTGCACAAAATAGTCGGGAATCGGTGGGGAAAGAGGCCTCGCCAACTTCGCCGACGTGTGTATGTGTGCATCAACAACTGGCAACTACACTAAGCCCGCCGCCGGGGTGTATCTACAGCGCGGTACAGAACACCGAAGAAACCGAGCAATTGCAAGAAGGCTGAGAGCACAAATTCACGGCATTGAGCCGCTAAAAGTCACGAAACGACATGCAAATCGTACACAAACGAGAAAACAAAAATTACACACAAGACACAGGCGGCCGCCCGCCCCGACGGCGCGCAACGCCACCGCAGTGGGGGAGAGTGGGTGTTTGTTTCTCCTTCTAGATACACTCAGCAGGTGCAGCATCTCTCATTTGGCTTATTTATAGTAGTGAAACTCTTGCAGGGCATATGCATACACTCATTCAAGAACTTCCTCAGCCTCTTTACCACAAGTCGCCCTATGCCTCTTGTCGCCATCTGCGCCGGAGTCACACACAGGCTAGCGGGGGCTGCAAAAGGGTCTGAAGACGGCAACCGGATGTGCATAGACACACCGCATCATCTCTTAACTAATAACTTATGTGGTGAAAAAACAACCCTAAAGGACGGTCAGCAGGAAGCTGCAGTTTTCAGAAAACTCATAACGCATACTGTGCCAGTGCTGCTTGCCCTGTCTGAGGTTGGTACACGTATTTCATTTGCATGCAGGGTAGCTAGTGAGGGACAAAGAAGTGTTGAGCAGTTGCCTGCAGTCTTGCTGCATGCAGCAAAGGGGGATTGGTTATGATTTTAGGTGGGGTTGCATTGGAGCAGGTGTGCTCCCACCAGTTACACCCGCCTCCTCTCCGCACCAGCCCCTAAGGCTTATTCTGCCGTGGCCAGGAAGCCTGATAGCTGAAGGTCATGTTAAAGCTTCTTGCGTGGAACTTTGTCTTAAGTCTTTTGTCTTCACTGCAATTCAGGACGGGCCTTGGCTAAGGTCGCGCACTCGAGTTACACTTCGTAGCGATGCATCGCTCACACACAAAGGGGAAAACCTCCCTACCTCACTGCCACACCGGGGAATACTAAAGCACAGACATCACAAATAGCAAATGCGCTTTGGGGGGAAAAACTGGGGGAAAGACCTCTAGGTATTATCTTAAAGAACTCTGTCGAAAATGAAGCACCCATGTTTTCTCGCATACCGAAGAAAGATCATAGTCCGCCCCCCCCCTGGGGAGCTAAACAACTTCTGGGCTCCCCGTCTAGCTGGAGCGAGCGCAGTGCCTGCTTCAAATTGGGCGGAAAATGTCTTTACAATGGAAACAGTTCATTTGGAATGCCTCCGTCTTTGGCGAACGCCCGACTATGGTGGGCTCCGCTTTGCGCTGGCAGTGGAGGTATTCTTTGCTTTTATGGAGCTTTAGTAGCGTCTTCAGAATGCACCCGAGGAGCTAAAGCTGCTACTGGCGTCCTCTTCATTAGACGCTGGGGCACGCCACGGGCAATCAGACACAGGGCGTTCCACTTTCCAGGAAACGCCAAAAGTAAGGAAGCTTTCCAAAATAAACCGAAATGGAAGTTTATCCCAAGGTCAGAAAGAAAGAAGGCTACTACAGGAAAGTTCTAAAACTTCAACCAGTGAAGCTATCGGTAGAGCGCTCGATCGAGAAGTATCAGTCCCTGGTTAGCGAATGCTTTACTGTGGGCACGGTGCATCCATACCAACGGTTAAGAGCAGGGGTCTCCACAAGAGAAAAACCAATCAGTAATTGGATGGGGCGCAAAGAGGGAACTAAGGGGCGTAAGAGTGAAAATGGCAAATATGGTGAAGTTCTGAGCATCAGAGTGAAAAGCTCCAATACCGCCTCAATAACTGAGATGGAAGGAAAAGGCGATTGAAATGGCCCACATAGAGAGCGCATGGCTGTTGAAGATATGAATGTCAGCCCCGTGCAGAGATATGTAAGTAGCGAGAACAGCTCGCAGGTGGCAACTCAGGCATCCAGCGAACCGAAGAAAGGTACCCTGGGACGCTTCTGTTGCTGATATTTTAACATGTGACACTTCACATGTCAAAATATCAGCAGCATGAAACTAAGACTATGTGGAAGCAATACTTAGAGCGGAACCTGCAGGCAATGCTCAAAGTATTGCTTGAGACAGTCAAACTGTGATTAACCTGTCGTTACAATTTGTCAGGGGAGGTCGCACCTAAGAACAGGCCTTGGGGCATGGCCGGGAGTGAGTTCGGTGCGGTGTGTTGGGCATCTGGCGGGTGAAGGGCCCGCTGCAAATTATTGCTTATATAACACATGTGAGAACTTCTTTTGCGCACACTACCCCTTCTCCTTAAGTGTTAAGTGGATGGAATCCTTTTCCAAATCGCCGTCTTCGAGAATGATATCGCCACTCATGCATGCATGTGTGCGTTCATTTCTACATCTTTTCCTGCAGTGCCTCTGCACTGCCTTGTAGTCTCATCGCTCCTTCCTTCTTTTGACATTGATTCCACTCTTACCGCAGAGGATGCATATGCCATTGAACCGTTAAGAGGTAGACTCTCTCAGTGCATTCCGGCACGCAAAGACCTTACTAGTGTCGTGGTCTGCCTCGGTGAGCCAGCCACTGCTTGCGAAGGATTAAGTTGTGGCGAACTGCGCCAACGTAGAAGTCCCGTATCATGGTAATATTACCCGATGTTAAGTGCATTTTGCGCCGGTAGTTACACCGAGACTAATGCGCCGTTCATTGTCGGCGGCACGTAGTCGTGGAGGCTGCGCCAACGCATAGACAAGTAGTGAACTTCCTTGCTGCAACTTCAGACATCGCACCCGCTTCGCAGCCTGTTTCAAACAAGAAAACAACTCCCGAGCATTTACTCAACCTTGAGTGAGCACCGACTTGACTGGAGGCGTATATGCAGCTGCGTTTGTCACCTCTTTCGTCCCTTTGCCCCCATCCCTCAGTCGCACATGGGGACTAATGCGCCTCCCTAATCGCTTCGGTGGTTCCCCTGCAACCCTTCCCAAAAGATTGCACCTCCAGTTCCTCAGCGTTTTCACGGGTGTTTATTGTCGAATTATGTGGCTTTCTCTTTTGCAATATGGCAGGATCTGCGCAACTCTGTAGGTTTCCCTGGCTTTCTGAGTGCACGAGACGGCAGATGCTGTCGGTTAACATATTTTATCCTTCCCTTGACGGAGATGGGCATTCATGGCCCCCTCTTTTTACTGGTGCATCCCCACTTTCTTCCTTCGCAGCTAGGGCGGTTAACGCAGCGGCTTTTTCTTTGCTTGATGCCTATGCGCTTCATCTCTGCGAGGTCAACCCTTTCATCCCCTATTTCCTGCTTGGCTCAAAGTGGATCTACGGTCGAGGGGGAGCGGCTTGTCGTGAGTTTCAGCGCTGCAACACTCAATGTTGCATCTCCTGGTGGCATGCAACCCCACACGCGAAGATACCAATGCCCCTAATTCTGCATGAGCTGCGGCAAAAGGCAGTTACTGACTTAGCCGTCAATAGCCAGCTTTCACGTACAAATACTCTCACCACCGGACAACGCCTCACTATAAATACCGCAGAGGGTGTAGGTCATACGCATTACCACGGTGCGCAAATTGGAGCTGTAGGGGCCCGTCCGGAAGAGAGAGTACATTGGTAGAAATAAATGAAGTCACTTTAAGCGGGAAGTAAGGCCATTAGGCTAAGAGTGCTCGGCAGCTACCCAGGGGATGGCGCTGGTGGTAAGACTGGCACTGTAGTCGAGGCGTTGACTTGCAAGCGGCCCGTTCGAGCAGAAAAATTATTACTACCATTCCTCCTTGAGGAGAATTGGGCTTGGATATGAATCAGGGAATGGGCTGTTACATATCATAGTAGGTCTAAGGATTATACGCTCAGTGTAGTGTCTCTAAATCGCGTTTTTACGAAGTAGCCATGCCTAGCATTAGCAGTAGCATCAGAGAGCGCTGTCCTCTACAGGGGGCGACCCCACAAGTAGAGGAAAGACAATCTACGAGTGGGTTCTAATGGCAATGTGAAGGAAATCTCATAGTTCGATAAATATCCTTCTTTCAGTTCTGCAGCATCAAGCGGAAGTCACGAGATCCCCGTAACGATTCCCCGATCCAACACGGGGCCTTTACAGGGTTGAAGCTCCTGAGGGGAGACACCGAGGGCGCCTCGAGTGGAGATTCTGTAAACAGAGTCCGTACTACAGAGTTGTCAAAAAAGAGTCCATGGACCCTCAGAAATAAGGCTTCTACTAAACTGGGATGGCCGATGGACCTCATCGCAGTGCAGTGCAGCCCTGCGCCTGCTAAAAACTGGGGAGACATCTCTGTGCTCGCGCAGTTAAGATCATTTAAAGCAAATAATATGTTTTTAATATTTATTTTAATCTTTGCAGCTGTTTTTTGCAGTCCATGCCACTAAAATTCGAACAAGTACTGCCGCTGCACGGGCCCCTCCCTTCCCCCCCCGCCAAGTTACTAGGCGCAGCTTGCGAACGTCCTAACGGTCCCTGCTTATCGCTGCATCCTGTATTGGAGGTCGATGCCTCTTTCTGAATAATGTTCGTTGAGTTATCTAAGATAAAGTGCTATGAAACTAACGTGCTGTGGTTTTCCTTGTCCCTCGTGCGCTCCATACAGTGCAGGAGTCTAGCCTCTCGACCTCTGTCGTCGATGCGTCCGAATTGCAGGTTCTGCAGTGTTCTGCTATGTGCTATTCAACGCAGTGTCATTCCTAATACTTTAGAGGTTATTCGGCTTTTAAGCCGGACACTGATGCGGCATCAGCTTGAGTTATTAGGATTCCCCTAACAGCGTTTTCAGTGGTTCTCCGTTTATGAATAGGTTTGTAATGTGCTGTACTCGGCGAAGAACAGTTGAAACAGTTCCATGATCACCGCAGGATAAACCACAAGCATCTGTAGCGAAGGGGCCCGCCTAGTACTTAATGGATTTCTCCGTAGAATCCTCGCGGGAGCCAGCCGACGCCTCCCTCTCCGTGCTCGGTGTTGAAACTCCTCAGGCAGCAAAACGCTGCTGCGATGACAGTCCTTTGAAGCCGCACCATCCGTTTATCAGCAGATCCTCCTTGAATTCCTACCCCACCGTTTTGGCAGTGGCTGTCACCTGCTTGGCTGTCGCATATTGGCTGCTGCGCTGCTTCCATGGTCTACGGCCAGTGCAGAAGCCAGCTGGCGCCTCCAGGGCGCTAGCAGACAACAGACGTACGGAGTGTTTTGGAATGCCAGACTCCGGTTCAAGAGGAAAGGAAGAAGGCGCGAAAGGTGCCGAATGGCCATGGTCTTATCACAGTCAGCCGGCTCCTGAGCACTTGTGGTTGCAACATGGGTCAGCCACAGCTCAAAAGCAGGCCCCATTAGGATCTCCTGAGGCGCCGCTCAATTACCTTGGAGGGCCTTATTTGGAGTTGCACGCGGAGAGCGCAGGTGGTGCACCTGCGTGGCAGGCGCCTCTTTCTTGGCCGCCTGCCTACATGTTGGATGGCCAGGCGCTAGATGCTCCATACTACCCTAAACCGAATAAGGAAGGTGCAACTACTGGACAACAAACACATGACGAACAAGACGAAAATGTACCTCCACAGCCCGCATGGCCCGGTGAACAGGAGCCATATTCACAGTGGTCCGATGCACACCCTCCCCACCGCAAACCTCTGCAAGCCCTTGACCTGAATAACCAAGAGAGGGGAGGTCCTCGTGCGCACCATAACAACCTACACTCCCAAGGTGAAGGTAGACAGGCGGCCTTTGTGGATGCGTATTTCAGTCAGAGCCAGCTGCCCACGTCTGCACCAGGCGATTTGTATTGGCAGGCCGCTGCAGGACCAGATGGAGGGGAAGGTCTTCCAGGCGAATCCCCCAAGCAATATTTTGAACCGAAGCTCTACAGGGATGAGAGGTGGGAGGATTGGGAAGGGCACGGGATGCCCAGGATCGCGAAGCTGCAGGCTGCAAACATTTTCGACTGGTTGCAGAGAAACGCCTGCATGTGCAGCAATATACTGCCTTTGCTTAGAGCCGATCAGGGCGTGCGTTTGGCTGCCGTTATGCTGAAAATCTTATCGCTGGGTGTAGGAGCTTTGTCCCGTTTGCCCGAAGAGCTTAAACCCAGTAGAATACTTGCAGGTGAAGCCATTCTTGAGTTGGCAGCCAACGCGAAGTCCTACGCCTGCAACAACCAAGAGCTGAAGGAGCACTGCACAAGCATCACCAGTATCCAGTCTTTGGTCAGCCAACTCATGCTGCCAAGGCTACAAAATAAAGTAGTGACAGCGCAAAAACGGCGATCTCGGATGCTAAATATTATGGGGCTTGTACGGCTGGTGAACAAGTATTGTGCGAACTGCCTGTGGAATATATCCCAGTTCATACAGTTGGCTTCACTGGAGCAGTTGGAGCTTGCTGTGGAACAAACTCTTGTCATATTTACCTTCTTGTGGGAGGTGCACGCGTGGGAGGTCTCCAAAGACAGGTATGGTCGGCGTCATATCCTCGATTGCCAAACAGAGACTGGCATTTGGGTACTCATCGCTCGTGATCAAGTAGTGCCTGGAAAACACGAACCACTCACCCCATATGAGAAACTAGAAAAACGACTGCAAGAGATTGTTCACGCTTGCGGCGGCATCCCGTCTATTCCTGGAGGCGCTCGTGAAGATGGTAGCCAAAAGCCAGCCGATGGCGCCAACACCGACGCAGAAAAACCGTCGGGTGCTCCTTGTGGTGGGTCGGAGCACGCAACGGAGCACGAAAGTGGAGGTCCAACGACGGAGAGCACATCTGCACCACGAGCCTGGCCATTTCAACCTCAACAAAAGCGTTGGCTACCATTTGTGGAACGTCCCCCCTCTTCGCCGAATGTCCACCGTGGGCGACAACGGCACCAGCCGTGCCAACGTACCACTCCACCCGTTCAGTACCCCCATTTGCCAAGCTCTCAAGCCCCCAGTCAAACCTTTCTTCCCAGAGGGAGTTCAGAAATGATGCTTCCTTCACAGGCGGGACCACCGCAAATCCCTGAAAATTATCTCCCATACGGAGGACCCTCCACTCAATCTCCCCAACTGTGGCAGATACCCGTTTATCAGGCGCCAGTACAAATGCCAACACCGGCTTTTAGACAGCCTATGGGGATTCCGACCACGGCGTTTTCATTTTCTTCCGGACAGTGGGAGCATCCACCAAGTGCGCCCTTCGCGCATGGGTGGCAACCTAGAGGCGCAGTAGCCTGGACTCAAACCGGCTCAGGAGGAAGTTCAGGCCAGTTGCAAACGTTTGAACCCAGATTCTCTAGTGCTGCATCGCCTGGCTCTCAGGTATGGCGGCCCCTGCGGCCTTAGTCTGAAGAAGGCAAAAGGGGAAGAGCTAGCTAACTCACTGAACACCTCGACGATTGCCACACTGAAATGTCTTTGCTTTAGTGGCAAGAGTAAATTGGGCTAACAGTCTTGCACTGTGCAATTGCCTGGCATTCAGTGTTCGTGAAGTGCTAAAGAAAACCGCTATACGATGCAGCTTGACGACCGCACCTGTGGATTTGTGTATGTATGCTTGGGTCTTCGTGCACTTGTCGGCTCATATTCGCAGTGAAGCAATTTCTTAGAGAGATCTTACGTAGCCACTTGATATTCGCATCACTGAAATCCACATCGTGGTATTTATGTGAGTTTTGTGGCCTTGCATAGCTGTACACGCACGTGTAGTTCTCTGGAGATTGATGTCGCAACATATGCCCTGCAACACCTAGTAGTGCGGCATCCTGTGTTGCAGCTGTAGGAGCTTGAACAACGCTGCTCCGGTGCCTATCGGGACGAGCAAGTGTCAATGATATGTGTTGTGGTTTATTGATTTCAAAATACTTCGACTGAACTGTGTAAGGCAATCGCTGCACGATGTAGGGCTGCGTAGTTTAGCCTTCTGACGCAGGCGGGCTAGGGTCGGCTGCGTACACCGCGGGTACTGTGAGCGCGTGGACGCCATCGCTGCTGCATCTTCTTGGAACATAATGCCCTTGAATGGCAATCCCACTTCTAATTATGTGCATGCGTTTACTACCGGTCATCTAGGTTATCGTGGCTTGCATGCACCTACCAAGTATTTTTTTAAAAATTGCGCTTTTCTGTACCCTGTCTTGCCGATATGCTGCTTGAGCATAGCAGTGCTGGCTCCTTTAACTAGAGGGAGAGAAGAAGTTCCGTAAAAATAGCAATACCACCAGGTGCAACGTTCTCGGCACAAAGAGCGCCGCGGCTACGCGCGTGCGTGCTCTCGAGCACACCGGCAAGGCAACTTTTTGCCTCAGTAGAGTTCGAAGTAGTTAATCCAAAGAGATTCGGGATGAGTTGCATGGAGATTTGATGCAGCTGTCAGTCAAACGTTCATAGAGACGTTGCGGTTTACTCTTTCTATCTCGGCTCTTCCTAGCACTGAGAAATTATTACTGAACGTACCTAGCTCAGAATCCACGCTGGAGAAGCTGTGTTTTTCATCGCCTCGCTTGTGTCGCATTGGTTTTTAGTGCCTCGGGCGCAACAGCTCAGCACGGGCTTGTGCCATGCGCTGGACGGTATTCGAAATTTCCCACAGTTGTAGTGTAGCATTCATTGTAGCTGGCCTTGATGCATCCAGGCGTTGTAGCCGCCGAGATTCTGCCTGCCTTTTATTACGACGTGTTTTGGTTCATATTGCTTTTCGCGTTGGTTGGGGAGCGTTTTCTTCGACCATTTCTCACTTCATTGCCTTTTCCTGCATGCTGTGGGGCATACATTCCATTTTCCACCTTGGCAAGGGCAGGCAAGCAGCCCGTTGCATCCATAAAAAGACTCCTAGCTACTAAGCCAGATAAGACACATGCAACGCACTCTTTAACCATAACTTCATGAAATGCCCAGCTATTCGCCTGGATGCAAACGACGTGAACGAGGAAAGCAAAAGGGCTCCATGCAGCAGGATATGTCTACTGTTGAGGTTTTTGCTGCAGTTGTTGTTGCTTGTGCCATTGATTTTCTGGTGTTGTAGTGTGATCCATTCCATGCCTCTAATAAAGCCAAGGCGTCAGAAGGCAATAAACGTCTGCAATGGAGGCTCAAACATAGTAAATAGTGCTTGTACGCTTCGGCTAACGCAGCAACTTCGTTTTGCTTGCTGTGCGTGTGGAACTAGAGACGCAAAAGGGCCCACCGTTAATTTTGTCTCACAAGCCAAGTGCGCGTCGTGCGTTCTCTGCAGTGCATGCATGCGCTCATGCATGCAGTCGTTGCATGCATGCATGCACTGGCTCCTTGACGCGCGTACCTGCAATCTGCATGCATCTCTGTGCTGCACATACAAGTAAGTGTTGAATGCTTGCAGTGGCTGCTTGCATGCTTCCATCAAACGAGTGGATGCAAGCATCTGCCTTTCCTCCTTGCATGCGCTAGCACAAGGTATTCGTGCGACAATGTCAACACATTCCGATATTTGGGAGTTGCTTGTAAGAGTTAGAGAGGTGTCTTTCGGTTAATGGTTTGACCGCTGGGATCGAGGACCAAGGGGCCACTTGAAAGGGGATGAAGCGGTAAGCGGTTGGTTCCTGGCTTCGAGAAATTCAGCAGGGGATCATCGAACTCCCTGAGAGCCATTTTTTGGCCGATATTAATTACAAACGAAATGCCATTAAGGCGAGAAAAGTGAGAAAGACTACGAAACAGCGCAAGTGCCTTGAGAAGCCTGCAAGGTAAGCTCGACCAGATCCGGACTACCGAACTCTTCGCATTCACCTTTAAATTGTTCCAACGGTTATAAGGGTTTTACACTTGGCTTTTACGCGGCCGTACGGCTAATGAAAGGAGGTGAAACAGGTAAATTTCACGCCGACGCTTAGATGGCTGCGCTGCCACGCTGCCAGGAAGGGACCCACGCAACCGAGAACCTGGAATTAACCTACCTCAATGCAGAAATGAGACAGTTACTGCCTGTAGCAGAAATGTTGCCTATTAATGCGCCCACATGAGAAAGAAATCATCGCAAACAGCGGAAGCAGCAACATGGACGTCACGTAGGGAGCATTTAAGGAGCGGTTAACCAGAAGGATCTCCATTTACCATTGTTTCTGCAAACTAGGGATTTGGTTTGCACTTCGCAGATCGCACGATGACGAAGATGAATCTGCCCAGCAAGTGGCGAGCACCACAAAATGTGGCGCCACGGCGTCCGGAGCTCAGTTTCATTTCCGGAAGTCGAAATACCTGTTCAAAAAAGTGGTAATGCAAGGAAAAGCCAAAATGAATGCGAATCGAACGTGGAAATTAAACCGCAAGATTCGTATACAGCTACTCAGCCTGCACGAAGTTTGCTCTCCCAGGAGCGATGCCCCGTTGAAATGATGCATGTCTTCCAGTATCGAGTGCCGTCTGCCCGAGCACAAATCGTAATTGGCCGGTTCCGCGGGAGTGCAGCACATGTCGTACCTTTTCTTCTGATATTCAACGTGCCTTTAAGTTTTCTCTAACTAAAAATATCGAGGGTTCTCAGGCCCTGAAGCTATGTTGCTATTGGCGTTCCCCAAGCACGTTCCTCAGGCACGACGAGCAGACTCGTGTGGCATGGGGCGATTTGTCCACTTTATCTGCATAGTGCTTCGTCTCAACTTTTCTTCGAGCTGAATTTCAGTATTAACGCCTCTTACAGGGGCTGATAGTGGGTCCATGTTGTTTCCTCCCAGCACGGGCGCCTGCTGCACTCAGATCGAGAAGACCGTGGCTGCGTCGCTCTAAGCATGCCTGATGAAGTTAACACTGTAGTACTCGTTGGCCCCTTAATTTGATCAAGAACCTAATATGGTTTCTACTTGAGCTTGAATGATGTGGCATGGGTAACTATAACAGTACGCATAGCAAGATTCATGGGTTCAGCCCGAGTCACGCACACCAGGTCGTGCTGAATTTGTAATTCTAAAACTTAGAGACTATCATCGGAGACACGATGGAGCTTTCACCTGTTTTATCTACCAAGGAGAAGGCGGAATCCTTCAGCGGCAAATTTGATCATAACGAGGCCCCTTCAGGATCCCCTCCCCGGACACAGTTCGGTGGGAATAACGGAGCTGTTAACCTGCTGCAGTTCTCCAGGAAGAGGAGCTCATGGGCTTTTTTCCCTAGTCTGTTGTCCGTGACAATCGTCTCCTTGGCTGTTACCTACTGGGTGCTGCGCTGCTTCCACGGCCTTTCCTCCGGCCCGAGGGCGGATGCATTTTTCAGGGCACTGGCGGCCGGGGGGGGTGAGGAGTGTTTTTGGGCTCAAGACCATTCTTCTGATGAGGGGGAAGAAGAGCTACAGAGTTGGGGAGGTACAGATTATTTTCAATGGCATCCCGTGCTGAGTCCTGGAGAAGTCGGCATATGGAGTACGAGAGCGCCTGCCCCAGGAGGGCCGCTGGCGATGCATTCTGGATATCCCTCCACTCAGCCACAGGAGATGAATCTTCCCTTTCCATATGGCCGGGATACTGCAGCTTCAGCCATACCAGGGACCTCAGGGCATCCGCAGCCAATGATTCGTGCATATCAACACTCCATAGCTGCGGGGCAGGTTCCTGAGAACGGGCGTCAGCAGCCGGTACCAGCTGCAGGCAGGACTTCAGCAGAGGCCCTTGACGATGAGAATGAAGATAGTGACTCTCATCTTTGGTATGGTCGGGGGATGTCCGAATCAGCGAAAGACCAGGCAATGCACGTGCTCGAGTGGATGCAGAGGAACGCAGACATATGCGCCAATTTGTTACCTTCCCTTTCCCCTGAGCAGGGTTTGGTCCTTGCCTACACAGTGTTACAGGTGTTGACGTTGGACTTAGCTGCTGTTTCTCTCGTTCCTCAAGAACTCGAGATCCAGAGGCGTAAAGCGGGTGAAGCTCTCGAAAATCTTGTGTCGCAAGCCCTCACGTACGGCCGTGCGAATGAAAATCTCGCGCAAGTGCGCAAGGATCTTTTTGCGATGGAGCGACTGGTCCGTGTCGTCAAGATGCCACGGCCCTGCACCGAAGACCCGTTTTCACCCAAACGCAAGTTCAAGACGTTGACGCTTCTTGCAGCAATCAGGACTGTGGGCAAGTACAGCACTAAAGTCCTCACTCATATAGCATCGCATGCAAAGCGGTCCTCCAAAGAGGTCCTGGAGATGGTTGTGAAATCCCAACACCGCATTCTGACTGCCCTGTGGGAGGAGCACAAGTATCACATTGTCAGGGACAAACTCCACCGTTTTTATGCCGTATGTTGCCAGAAGAAAGTAGGAGCTTGGCTTCTCATTCCCCTGAGTGAAATAAAAAGAACTCATGAACCAATCCCTGCGTATAAGGTATTGCTACGAAGACTTGATATGGCCGTAGAAAATGCGGGAGGCGAGGTATTGACTTCTGCATTGACGGCAGGAACTGATCAGAAGGGGACTGCTAGAGTTGGTAGTAGAGATGCCCCCTCTGCAGAACGCAGTACAAGCGCATGGGACGAAGCACATGAGCCCATGCCAAGTTACGGCAGAAATGGGGATTCACGCTCGCAGGGCCAGATGGGCATGCTGTCTCAACAGCGTGCACCGCCTGGTCCCTCAATGCAGCGCTCTGCACGAACAGTCCATGGTGGCTTTGAGAGAACGTATCAAGATGGCCAGCAGCCAGGTTTTCAACCCCCCGCCACGCGTTCTTCGGGTGTGCAGAGCCGAGAAGGGTTTGATATGTTCATTTCTGGCAGTCCATCAAGGCCCTGCACTCTGTACAGCAGCTTTCCACGAATGCCAGCCCCAATGTCACCTCCGCAGACGTTAGCTGGACAGCCTGACTTACGTACCTCGGCTAGATTTTCGCTTGGCCTGCCCTTTAGAGGCGCGCCGCCTTCCCGGGAATCCCCACGAATGCCACCACTATCTTCGTCCCACCGCATCGGTCCATCTGCCGCTTTTCCTGTTTCTTTGCCCCCCCCACGTAGTGAAAGCCGCCTGGGTTTGGGGGATCTCGCCTTAACTCCGGCAGCTCCAAGTGACCAGGGGAACTTTTACAGCCTCTTCCAAGGGGGGCTTGGAGTTCCTCCTTGGCTTTCTTTGGGATCGGTGAATTGGCATGCGCGAGCTCAAGAGGAATCGCAAGACTCGGCTGAGCCACAAGATTCTGTTCAGCCAAAAAAGAATCCTTACAGCGACAGCTAGCTGGGTGCGACTACGATTTTATTATTATTGTGATGACGAAGACGCCGGTGCAGGAGTGTGAGCTGACAGCGTTGGTTCGACCCCATTTTGCTCTCCATTCCTACGGGTTTTTCCGGCTTGCCCTGTGTCGAGAACGAGCACACTCTATTACATGTCTTAATGCCGCAAATCCGTGGAGAGGCTCTTAGTGCGGTTGTTGAGTTCACATAGTCATTGTTTATCAAACGCATCTCTCCACTTGCTGGCTCTTCTTTAGGTTGCGCGCTTGCAGTTCATTAAGTGCGACAAGTGCTGCACGGGCCGAGATTGATGACGGCTGATAATCCTGCTGCTGAATCAGCTGTGGGTGTTGTTGTGTATATAGTAGCTTGTGAAATCTAGCACGTCAAGCACGTGACACGATTTCTGCGATTAGTCAAGGAGATTTAATCACTGTGGTCAGCTTCGCTTTTCAAGATTTGCATTTTCACCTTATGTGTTCCGTGTTCGGAGATATACCGGACGTTGGCTACATTTCGGTCCGCTTTACAAAGCTGTAGTTTCGGTAGGTTCGAATCATGAAGATATGATGGGTCGTGTTGTGAAGCACTGGAAACGATTATTAGATGATCAGACTGTTCGAAAATGACGCACAAGAGAATTCGTAATCTACTTGTAGAAGTACACCAGTTTTGTCGTGGGATCTGTGCATTGCTATGGCAATCTGCAGTCAACAGGGCGAGTCTCTGTTACATGAGCTCAAGCTTAGCAACTAGCATTACCAATAGAGGTGTAGCCTAACGCGCCTTTCTTAGGGGGACCTCAGCTTCAGCCGGGGCCGTTGAACGTCAACGCAGCCATCGCCGTGGCCGACTAGTCGTTTTTTTTCGGTGATTTGTCAAATTTTGTAGCTTGCGTGGGAGTTCTGCAGGGATAACACGCCACCAGCTGAGTTATCTGCTTTTCATTCCGAAATGGTAGGCTGCTGTTGCTTGTGGTACGCAGGCTTAGGCATCTAGAGTTGGAGGAACTGCTCACTGCAGCATTTTAGTCTGACCTCCGAATTGAGTCTTTATAGAGATCCTGCTTGTTTTTAAGGGGAGGTTGTGTAGCCAACACTGAGGACCGATATGCCTCCTGTGTAGCCGCTAGGGGAATGAAGCCAATACACACTGCAGGCACTCGAATGGTACGCATCAGGGGTTACATTAGAGGCCCTGCAATTTTCTGTATTTCTTTAGAGTTGTTCATCAGCAACTAATGCAGTAGATGGTAACAAGAGGCTGAAGAACCTCAGCCACGCAGCGACGATGCTCATGGTTGAGAGGCAGCCAGACAGAAAGGTACCTCTATGAACTGTAAGGAAGGCCTTGTGCCTGCAAGTCCTTGAAAACGCCAAACATATCAAAAAGCCAGTAAGCATGTAGAATTATATTTGTGGTGTAACCATTTGGCGCCCTTGATCCTTGTTGAATCATATGTCTAGCGCTGTAAGACCGGCAGAAGGGGAAGCAATTCTCGAAATGCCATCGCGCTGGAATATTTTAGTAGCCTCATATACCAAAAACATAATTCCACATTGCGCTGCGTCTATACATTTCGTATTTTGTGTTTAAGCCGAATAGGATTTGCAGGGTGCGAGCAACTGGTCGATGTGCAGCCACCGGCGTTGGCCTCGGCGCCGGTCAGTTGCCGCCGTGCGGTGGCTGGTGGCAGCTGCTTCGACTGAATGCCGAAGAATACTTCGATTGAATATTCAAAGGCCTACGAACGAGACAGACTAATATATCGTTCGTTTCATATTAAGCACAGACAAAGAAGAATCGAATGGGTCTCTTCCCACGAGCCCCACTTCGGACGGCAATGGCTCACTGCCGACAGACTGCCAAAGGACCGGGTGCTTGACTGTGAAGCAGTTGAAGTTGCTTTGATTATCTCTTATTTACTAGACTCTTTCGTATTTCTTAGCTTTGGTGCATCGGTGCAAACGCTGAACTTGTGCTTCCCGGGTTTTCTGCATCGCCGATCCACTTGAAAACCCGCTGCTGGGGAAGCCTGATAGGGTATCTTCTGAGGAAGAGCTACACCTCCACCTTTTGCATATTACAGGTTGAAAAAGCACCTGAGACGTCTCCTCATTCGCCTTTTTTGATGGTCTTAGCCCATATAGTCTGTTCAAGATGCAGAGCTATCGGCCCGTGAACGCCCTCTCCATGTGCGCAGCTGTGCTGGTTCTCAGTGGGGGAGAAACGCATGCGTTTATGGTGGGGCGAAGAAATAACTACGAACTCAGCCCTCCCGTGGACGTGCGGAGCAAAGAAGGATCAGCTTCCCCGGACTCTCCTTTTTTGCTGTACGATGCGGACGAGCGACAGCTGCAGCTGCAGCCACCACTGTTGTCCTTTGATGGCCAGGAAACATCCTTTGTGCAATCGTCTGGAGACGACGACAGTGACGATGACAGCGACGATGACGAGGAAAAGCAAGGCGATAAAGAAAAGAGCAGAGGCGATAAGAAGAAAGGGGGGCATGAAAGCAATGAAGCCCACGGCCACCACGGAGATCACGAGCATGCAGGCAAGAGCAAAACCGAGAAGCAGGAAGAGGAAAAGGCTGGCCATAAAGAAGAAGCAGCTGAGCACAAAAGGGAGTCAACGGCTCCCATGAGCCCCAAGGAAGAGAGACACGACGATGAAGAGGAAAAGAAAAGGAAGGAAGAGGCTACAAAGCCTGAAAATCTCTTAACCAGCCCCCAAGAGCAGTCGAAATTCATAATGTCATCTATGAAGAAAGCCACTGATGAAAGCGTAAGTGGGAATACAACCAATGGAACGGTCTGCTTATAAACTGTTTTGACGTTTCGGGCTTTTGGTTTTGTTTGGCGTTCTGTCATCATGTTCGTTTTTTTCTTACAACTTGCCACAACACATTTACATTGTACCTTAATCTCAGTGCCCAGGTACTGCATCATTACCTGCCTCTAAACTCCATGGATTTCGTCTCGTTCTCGTATTTGTTTGCTCTTGCGGCTCAGCACAGCGCAGTGGAGAAACTCGTGGCAGTGATGGACCACTTGCATGGGGTCGTTGCTCTGCTAAACCAAATAATTCAACTGCCCCCCCCCAGCCCGTCCTTTTCAGAAACAGTGATGCTGGAGTCAGCAGGCAAGAAGATATCCCTTAAGGCGCTTTTGGACGAAGCAGGAAATGTGCGCAACAGCGTAGATGCCCTCTTCACGATGCTGCTGTCCGCCAAACACTCCATCATTGGGTCAATCAATAGCGCTATTCCTGCCAGGCCGCCTGCAGCCACCACCACTGCACCACCCCCCAAATAGAGCAAATTAGAGCCCTAGCTAAACTCAATGAATGAAGTATTTACTCGAGGCGGCGAATCTTTCGCTGCATACTCCCTCCGGTGGCCCTACTCCGCACATACGCCCCATATGTTTGGCGCCCCACGGGTGATAAAATGTTTTTTGAACCGGTTGCCATCAAGTTCCCACCTTCTGTCCGTCTGCACGACCACAATAGTGGGTGGAGACATCAGCGTCCAACTTCCATTCATTCCACCCAGACGCGTCTCCCCCCCATCGAGTGCAGATCTCTGACGTGCGTCCGCTAGCTGGCACAGGCTCCGCTGGCGCATTCATTGCAGCATCATATTCCCGCTGCTCCCTCGGCCCAACGGCTTCAATGCGTATGACCAATAGGGGGTTTTGCGTGCTTCCTATTGCCTAGGTATGTATGGTAGGCCAATAACTGCGCCCCCAGAACTCTAGTGTGCAGTATTAATGGGAACTGCCCAGCTTCCAAAATTTGCGTCTGGTGGATAGTTTTGAGGCTCCCAGAAGCCTTACAACCCCCTATGTATCTATATACCTATCGCTCTGCTGCGGCATAACTTTTCATACCCTCCTCCGCATGTTGTTGCACTCTCGGCGTTCACTCGAGTCGGCAGGCTGTCCATCTCAGTTTACGTCACCTTGCAAACTCAGTGCGAGTACCTCCACACGCATTACTCAATATTACAGGGTTCCTTGCCGTGCTGCATGCAGCTACAGCAGTGTCACCAAAACCAAACAGTGCTCATGGTGCAAGGGATAACTGCCGGTCAGCCGCAAATGGCAGCAACAACATCCCATTCATTTAACTCAACAGCAGCACAGATTTACATCCATGCAAATTAGGCAGCATGGCAGACGAAAAAATACGAGGGGCTTCAATGCTCCCGTAGAAGACTAGTCGGGAACTTCCCTTAGCACCAGGGTCGCTGCCAACAGAAATGTAGGTTGTTCGTGGATCTTGGAAGCACTAGTTGAACTACGGTGCTATAACGAGTACATCGTGCAGCTCTCCTGCACATGTCACTTCACGTGTGCACCCACGTTTCCCCCTTTCAGCGTTGGCAGGCGCCGAGACAGACGCGGCACACTCGCGCTGAAGCAGGCCACGCAACTCTAGCAGAGCTAATGCTCTTGCCAAAGGCGCTCGCGGGTGTAAATTACTCTATGAAGACTTACTACGGGAACTTGGGTAGGGGCAACGCAGCTGAATACCAGATACACTGCCACCTTACAAGCACCCGACGTTCACTTCAATGGAGGCAAGGTCCATGCGGACGGGCTCAAAGACAACACAAAAGGATGAATGAAGTTTGAACGAAATAAAGCATTAGGACAGGAACACGAGGGAATACTTCGGTGCAAGCAAAACAGGTGCCTGTTCTTTTGCGTCCAGAGAATGCCGAGCATGCATTGCAAATGAAGCGACCATGCTGCTCCCGTCAGGGTTCTTTTTTCCACCTAGTGCAAAAGTTAATCCAAAACTGCAAAGCAAAAGAACAGTTGCGGTTCTGAAGATCTGAAGTTCAACTTTAAAAAGAACGGCGCAAACATGTGGGGAACGAGAGACTCTCACGCGCCAAGCTGCTTGGCCAGGACGAGCCGATGCATGCAGCACAGCAAGCCCCACTAATTTTTCCGAGTCCAGCAAGTCGTTGAATAGTTGGGAAACCCAGTGCATTTTCACTTTCAAATTATGCAAAAAGCCGGATGATGATGTTAGTTGGCCCGGTGCACCAGAATGATTGCCAAAGGTAATGAACTGGAGCTGTAGCGAGGGCGCTCGTGGAGCATGTTCTCCCTGAGTTGGTAGATGAGCATTTACTTTGCCTTAGTAGGCAGCCTGCATGCGAGCAGAAGTACAAAAGTTGCCTAAAGTGTTAGTTCAGGCTGTTTGATTGTCCACCTAAGAGAAGGTGTCTTGCAACATTAGTTGCAAAGAGTTGTATTGCCACTCATGTGAGGATGCCTCTTCTCCCGCGTCCCCAGACCCTGAGGCGGCGGTTCCCAGAATTTCTGGAGACAGGAAAGGAGACCAGTTGCCTTTTTGGAAATCCCACCTTATGTTTTGTGGCTCGATTGCGGTGCTCAACGGCCCCCTCAGCAAGATGGTTGACTCTCCTTACAAAGTTTGTACCACGAGTCCTCGATCTTATCAAGGGACCTTAGTCAGATGCGATAGAGCCAAAGAACCAGGATAAGAGTGTTCTTCAAAGCAGCTCATTCCCCTTTCAGTCGTCTGCCTGCCTGGGCACAGCTGCGGAAGGGCTAGGGGTGGTATGGAGAGAAGGCGACTTGGAAAAGCGTGCTGTAAGTCCTTCTGCAAGGGTAACGAACCCGCCTTTTGATGCATGAACTAGTACTGCAGACAGCTGGTCAAGGCATGCATGGCCCTCAGTAGCTAGCTTGCACTGAAGTAGAAGCGCACGTACTAACATCTTAAGTAGCATACACCCTCATGTGCCTACAAGGAATGGGTGCACAGAGGGGGGGGGGAAGGCTGTCGCGAGAGGGGCCAGAGCCCCAAATACTGGAGTAGAAAATAAAAATGACGAGGGAAAAATGGCCGTTGGCACCTGTGGATGGGTGGTTCGGTTTACTGCTATTGCTGACCCCTGTCTCGTAGCTGCAAACAAGCTTAGTGGCGTTGTCACTGCCCACGTACGGAGCTGTGCGCCAGACTGCGCCGGGCGAAGTTTTCTGATGCGCTCATCCCCACACAATGATAAAATATTTGGTAAGCCGCCTGTGGTGAGGAACACCAGTGTACATGCGAGGCAGGGTCCTCAAAATGAAAGGTGAAGGCGTTAGAGTTAAGCTAGCTATAGGTAGAGGGCGGGGCTTAGCCTGCAGGGAGAAAACAATACGCGGAGGAGGTCACGTAGATATACAAGCGTGAGCCTCTTTTTACACGTGACAAAACGGTTGCGACCAAAGTACGCTGCCCAAATTTAAGTTGTGCTGCTCATGGCCACGCTTATAGTCGCCGCTCTTGTTTTGAAGAGGGCATGCAGAAGCTCCTGAGAGATAGCTTCTCAAAAGTGGCCCATAGAAACTCCAGGGTGCCGGTCTCCTAGCCATTTAGCCCCAGCAGTTCCCTGTGCTGTGGACTCTGGCAGTTGTGACACGTCTGAGACTAGTAGAACTTCCAAAAATTTTGTGCCATTTTTTGCGAAACACCTTCGCGACTAGTCTGTGTGTGCTATTCACGGCGCTGCCAAGTTGTGGGTTTGGGGCTGGCTTCTCCCGCCTTCCCCGACGAACCATGTGGTGTCACGAAGTACGACGACAGTCGACGAGCCAAGGGCCGTCGTGAATTTCAGTATTGTCGAAATAATTAAGATGAGAGTCACTAAAGAATAGCTGCCTACCCTTCAGTCCCCAGGAACCCTGAGAACAGGCGCAGAACGACCTATGCTAGTGAAGTAGGGGTGTGCGCTGTCATGAATTCATACGCCGACTGCTGCAGCTAGTGAGGCAAGGCAGCTCCGCATGCAGGAATTCGCAAGCTCCCTCTTGATGAATGCGCCAACAGTGCAGGTCATTGTTAAACACTTGCTTGGCGGTGAGTAGCCAGCCTGCAGTCAAGTAGAAATGCATGTACCAACTTCAGACAGAGCATGCTACACAGACCATGCTGCATCGGCAACAATTGGTTGGGTTTATTTAGCTCCCCAATGCAGGCCATCTCCCAACTCTCTGGTCTGTAATTCATACCACAGAATCTCTATTTATGCCTACTGCTTTACTATCTTATCAACTCCGGCCTCCTACCCTCACTGCTACCCTCCCGTCGCGCGGGGAAGGCAGCGCCGGTGGCTAGTTGGCGTAGTTCACTGTCCTTCACCTTTCAATACTGGTATATATTTTAAGAAAACAACAATATTCTGAGAACGTCAACATTTACCGAAAATAAAAAGGTCAAAGGAGCAGCCCCATGTGGCTGCTCTGCTGACACCTGCATGTGCGGGACAGAGTCGGCTGCAGGTGAGGAATCTGTTCTGCTGGCTATTCAGAGCGAATTCTTTAATTTCTGTTATTTACGTGTGTTATTTTCTGCAACAAGGGGAGCCCAAACTCCAGCCGACTAGCCCGGCGTTCTCGCTAAGTATTTAAACTCTGGTTAAAAACAGGGTAGCCCGTCGGTTGAAACGAGGGGTTGAAGCGCTTGATACGCTTTCGTTCGTTTCTGTAACACTAACTGATTGCGAGGAAAGGCATCAGATCTAGCTGTGGGTTTGTCTGGCTGCCCCCGCTCGGGGGAGGTGCGCTCTCAAATAGGTTTCCTGTTGGCTGAAACCTGTTGGAAAGGTTTTTCTTGCATTCTGTGATTGAGGAAACGACCAGGAGATGCTAAGCGATATCAAAAAGTTCGGGATTTCCGCGTGGAGGGAGATTCAACATTTCTTCAGAAGGCCCCGGGATGCGGTCCTCACGGTCTTGAGCCTTTGTTGCATCATCCTGTCAGGTGACGGCTCCTCTATCCAACGAGCACATGATGCTCCCGCTAATTCCAATGTTTCTTACCCGACGTGGAACAATTCTGTGCTCCAACTTAACTTCCACAAGCACACTGGGCGCCTTCAGTGTGGCCTGCAAATGTTAGTTTGTATGCAGTATTCACGCATGGACGGAACTCAATGCATGAAGCTGTATGCGTTTTGCCTGTGCAGCTTTGATGCTTTGGAAGGTGCTGGTGATAGCTGCGGGAAGTCCGTCGCCTGTGGTGGTGGTGCTGAGCGGCTCCATGCTGCCCGCCTTCAGCCGGGGGGATATTCTCTTTCTGGTGGACCATGGGCCCAAGACGGCTGTGGGGGATATTGTGGTTTTCAAGGTGAGTAGTGCATGCGCGTCAGGGCATAGCAGGATGCGGTGCTGCCGGTAGGGCTGAGTGCATCTTCAATGTTTTTGTTTGGCGTCGAGAACGGGAGAGAAGCTGCGGAGTAATGGCAGAGTCTCACCGGGTGTATAGCAGAAGCCGGTTCTTTGCTTGTGCTTCGTGGCCCTGCAGGTCGAAGGACGGGATATTCCAATTGTGCACCGCATCTTAAATATGCATACAAACGGCGCGGGCGAAATGAGACTGTTGACGAAGGGGGACAACAACTCCGTCGACGACAGGGGCTTGTATGCAAGTACGTTCTGACGCGGTGGTTGCGAAGTTTGCTTGGTTGTTCATTTGTTCCTCCCAGCTTTGTGTTGATTGATATGGTTCAGTTACAGTTTCAGCTTTCCGCATGGCGACAGCACATTATTGTATTGCGCCTTTTGTTTGTTTGACACGCGCCTTCAGACAAAGACTTGTGGCTGAAGGACTCGAGCGTAATGGGGACCACCGTAGTGTATCTTCCTTACGTGGGGCAGGTGACGATCCTTCTGAACGATTACCCCGTAGTCAAGTGGACGCTAATAGGAGGAATGATCGCCCTTGCTTTGCTAGGCTACGAATAACTAGCGGTAGTTGCCTGCGGCGACTTCTCCATGGAGAGCCAACCCGAAAATGGCTGCTGCAACCACCGCCTAAGCATTTGCCTCTATGAGAGCCTTAGGTAAAGGCTGAACTCCTGAACAGCTGCGACTGCCGGGGGCCTCACCGCAAGTGGACTGCAACGGCAAGGAAATTGCAGTTGAATTCTCAATGTTAAGCGGATCCGCCCCAACTATGCTGCCACCGGCGGCCACACGCCGTTAAGCGTGACCTGGGCTAGGTGAATAGGCTAGGTCAGCACGTAGGCCCTTCGAGGCAAACGCTCGACTATGATGCAACGAGGGTTGCTGTTGAATCGTTTGTACTCAACTGCAGCGTCTGCGGGTGACGGGAGGGGGGAGTGGAGGACAAGGAATACAGTATTTCCAGACAATGCACGAGTTCAGCAGTAGCCTACATTCTCTTAACCAGAACTGCCGAATGTGATTCAGACAGCTCTGGGAATCGCCGATTAGTAGCGGATCTGACAAGGTAAAAGGCACTACAGTGGATGCTCAGGTAAAAGCAGCACGAGCCCGAAGTTACAGAGTCAAAATAGTGAGCTAACGGAAGTCCCTTTGAGCTCGGGGCGCTGGCTTCTGACTGCAAGCACAGTGCTGATATGCAGAGTGCTGATGCATGAAGTCAGCACTGGAACTGCTCCTCTCGCGTGCGAACGCAGACGGATCAGCACATGCGACGTTATGTACGTTTCTAAGACTGTGCTGCTAGCTACAGCGCAGCCACGAAACGAAGTAGGCATGCCTTAGGATTCTTCCAGATGTATGTACATCTTGGGATGCGGCGTCACGTGAGCAAAACATGGAGGGAATGCTCGCTGGACAGCTTGGCCATACATACAAAAAACGTGAAGATAATGCTGTATATTTGGTCTGGACATGCTCTATTCTGTACTATACGTCACTTTCGCTCTGGCTGTTTGCGGCGGCGCAACGATGCGACGCCCGCTACCAGTTCCAGCAGTTCTCTCTGCTGTTAGCTCTTTCAGAACTGGTCGAGTGAGGAGGCCCCGTGCTATGTCCGGCGGCTTAACTTCGGTCGAAATGCAAAATGATCTCTCTTCAAAACTGTTCGAGAACATGATCAACGAGATGCAAGAGGAACTGGGTTCCGCGCAAACTCACCTGACGCGGTTCGCAAAGATCTTTGAAGAGGCGGGAGGCCACCAAGAGCAGGTGGCTCGCGACTCTCCCGCGGTTGAATCCCTGAAAGTCAGACCTGTGTCCCCAGTGAGCCACCTCGTTTCACGCTCCAGTGGTTGCAGCAAATGCGTTTATCAGCAAGTTGAGAAGGACATTGAAGCGGCTCGGGAAGCGCACACAGAGAACGACGACTTCGACGACTGGTGAGCAATCGGCCCCCTTTTCGTGGGGCTGCCTTGGAAACCACAAAATATCAACTCAGGGACCTAGGTGTCCACCGGGACGTGGCCCTAAAGAACGAACATGCCCTTTACCACCCTGCTCCGGTCCCACTTGCTGCAGGTGGTGTTCCCCATTTCAGTGAAGGGTTCAATCCTGAGCTCGACTAGGTCAGGTCACTCAAATAGCCTGACAACCAGGCCACGCCAGGCAGAACTGCGGACAAGGCCACAGCACCAAATGCATCTGCATGATGGAATTCGACCTCACTTGGCTGCACTCGTGCACTCAGCGCAACCTCCACAGCCGCTGCTGAATCCTCTCAAGCTGGTTGTAAAGGAATTCAGAACCGTGACGCTTTGCCTCATGACGCTTTGCCTCATTATGCCTAGTGATGGAACTTGGAACCTTGCTGGCTTTTCACTGGGAGGGAAGATGAAAGGGTGTCTGGCCTACCTGCCTACAAACTTCACTCCTTCAATTCGTCTTGATAGTCGTGCAGCTGCACGCAACGCATTTGCCATACAGCCGGACGAAACCCACTTTTGCTACGGTGCAACCACTATGCAGTATGCATGCACTGCGCGCAAACTAAGCACACGCCACAGAGCAAGCATTTAGCTTTCACTCTAGCTGAAACTACACGAATGTCCCAGGTTGACAGCGCAGGATGGGGGGAGGGAGCCTTACAGCGGCCATAGCTCGCAAAAAGAAAAGACTCTGCGGGATATCGTCAGCATTAGTCGGTTCGCGGTCTTGCTGCCAGTAGCTGTAATGTGAATACAGCAAAGCACAGTAGCCGCAGCCAAGAGCGGACAGCGCAGTGGGGCTCCTGCGACTCTCACTGGGCTTGCAATTTAGCTCCAGAGTGTTCTGTGTAGCAATAACATGAATGGGAAAGGCTCCAACATACCATAGTTTGTCGAATTCCGCCAATGGGCGCAGCGCTGTGACAGTACTGGGTGGCTCTTCAGCTTCGATACAGTCCTTAATGAGGGTGGAATCTGCAGCGTCGGCAGCAGCGTAGGATTTTCGCAGGTCCCCTAGGTTGCAGGTGGTCTGCTGGGCAGCTACAACGAATCCGTGAAGCTTGGGGGCTGCGACAGCGCTGGGAGAGTTGTCGCGGAGCAAGCGCTCCTCCTGGCCTCGCAGCCAACGGCCGTGCAGCTGTACCTCCAGTTTGCCTGCTTCTTCTCCCGCTGCTGCATCAGGACGCATTCGCGTCGGCTTAAAGAGTTCTTCGACAGATGCTAGCCCGCTGTACTTTATGTGACAAGGCAGAAGATGCACACCGTCTAGGCGTTGCAGTGCTGCCAGCAATAGCTTTCCCGCCTCATGAGAAACGTCTCGGCGACAGCCGTCTCCCTCGCATCCCAGTCTAATGGATGTTGGTGGCCCTAAGGGGGAGCCAGCAGAAACTTGTGCCAACCCATTTTCGACAGCGTCTGCGAACATCCTGCTATATGGCCTCTCGCACGAGACTCTCAGTTCCACAGCGGAAGCCCCTATTTTAAAGGGATGGTCACTGAATAATTTAGCATAAACTCGCATGTGAAAAAGAGGAAAAGCAACGCACACGCAGAAGGCCCCCAAGTGCCTTGCTACTCCCACCACCTTCGGCGGGCCCCTCGCGGTGGGGGCCCACCATCGTAGTGGCCAGCAATCCTATCCAGGCCGCTTGTAGCTACGGTACCCTCGCCTAACATGGCAGGCGGCAGATTTAGTTGCATATTCATAATAATGAAAGGGGAGCCCGTCTGCGTTATCTGTGAACGACCGACATTGTGGCGTGGCTGACACGATGAAACGGCATCCGCCCAGGTGGCGCCGCTTACAGTGGAGGGTACGTGAATCGAGATGAGCGCATTAACGCTTATTTTTCAACAGAGATACTCACGAGGTTATAGAACAAAAAGCGAAAAGTAAGAACACTGCCACAGCTTCCCCCCGTGTGTTTCGCATTCGACGCCTTCACACGCATCCTCGTTGTCTTGCTCGGGGGTTGGCGGCGACACAGCGCGCGCAAGTTTGCGGGTTTAGGGCATGAATATATATATATATATATATATGTATATATATATACATATATATATATATATGGAGCTACAGGGTTACTCCTTTAATTGTGCACATTCGCGTCCGAGGCGCTGATGCACTAGAGAAGCGATGGCGAATCTCGAAGGCAGCGTTGCCTATCATCGAGGAAGCTGAATGCCCCCGCTTCAGAAAGAGTGGAGCATATGTGGGGCCTTCCAGTGCCTAGCCTGATAGGTGGGTAGTCACGTTGGCGAAATGCAACGAAGATGGGATGCAACGAAAATAGGCTACACTCAGTGAAAGCAGCTCACGCTTCACACAAAGCGAGCGTCAAATTCGCCTCTGAGCTCGCTGAGTGGCTACCGTTTACGATCACCCAAGGCACGTAGGTGTAGTAGTGTCGCCTAGATACGTTCCCTATGGCTTTCCTGGAGCATAACAGGAACTCCACTGCCCACTCCGGCTATACGCAAACATCGAATGTTTCGTACAGCAACCTTTGGCCTTCGTCGCCCTGGAAACAAGCTGAAAAAAAAGTTGGAAGGCTGCGGAGTAACATACAGTTAACTGCATACCTTCTATTTCGCCTTTATGCCGCCCACTAACAGACAAGCAATCCCGCCATTTGCCGTCCGAGGCGCTATCGAGCCCTTCAACGCTGGAAGTTCTATGAACATCAGACAAAGGGCACGCAGCACGCCAACATGCCTCTGGCATACATATCCCCTGAGGCAGGTCAGATCCACTCCCCCGAACCAGGGACCCATATCCTCACCACTCGATGAACGCAACAAGGCTGTCCGGCTTCCCCTGAATCTTTTTTATTCCGCAGGCGGATAGGATGTTTCTAGAGTGAAAAGGAGAATCAGCAACATCATTCAATGCAGCCACAAGGCACGGCAAAATGTTCTCTCACAAGCGACACTCTTCAATGCCGTGCTGGCACACCACGGAGCCGTCCCTGTCAGCCGCGTTTCCTGTAGCAGGCTTTTGAGGCGGTTCTTATGACAAACCTTTCTGCAGGAATACCGTAAGGGAACAGATGCAAGTCGACGAACTTTCCCAACTCTGAACGCATGGTCCTAGTCACCTGATCGGTGAGATACTGCAAAGTCATTGTCGCCATTCGAGCGCAAAGAATTCAACTCTGGCAGGCACGTCGTGGGGGAAAGAAGCCTCTCACGCTCTTGCAGAAAGGGCATAAAGCTTCGTAGCTGATTTTAACCGTATCCACCTCATTCGCGAGAAAGTGCATTTGTACATTTCTTTTTATTCATCTCACAGGATTTCCACTTTAATTAAGGACGGGCGCAACAATCGAGCCTCTCGTGCGCTTCGAGCCCGATGACTGTTCCTTCTGCGGTAATATCCATCTGCACCAGCTAGTGCGGCTGAGATGACGAAAAGCAACGTCAAAACTCGCGCAGCCATCATTTCAGCGTTCGGTGGTGCCCACAGCAGTGCAAGCCGGGAAGAGGCGTGGCAACGTTACTGTGGGCACGAGGCGTTTGAAATAGCAACGCATCTGTTACTTGAGAAATATCTTGTTCATAGAAACTGCCATGCTCGCAATAATCCTTAAAAAGAGGAATACGAGTTCCTGACGGCCCAGGGCGCTGCGTACACCTCAGTGCGTTGTACGCGCAATACAACAATCGACAGAAGAGCCGGGAACCGTTCAGCAAAGCAGAATCCGAATCCCTTGAGCAGAGATAATACCACCACTTTCGGGTTGGCCGGAAAGCAAATTAAGTCCTGGCTTCTTGAGCAGTGAAGACTGTATAGCATCCGAACCGCTAGAGGTATCACCGTTCCGCACAAAGCCCAAACCTAACTGATCCGCAAGCCTTCGATGCCAATCGTCCACTTCACGGTCCCCGACAAGTGACCTTGAAGGCAAGAAATATAGAAGACCCTCGTTGGCACTTGCCTAAGGGCGATCAAAATGTGAGACGTGAAGGTAAAACGGCGTGTTGCTGCGCCCACATCCACTACAGGTCCAAAGAAGACCTATTTACAGACCGTAGAACTCCCCCACAGCCGTAAATGCAGCAAAAGACAGGAAGCAGATCCCTGCAACAGCAGCATGAAACCACAAACAGCCAAATATGCACCAAAGTAGTACTTCAGAGAGCAGATGCCCACACTGGGTGCTGCTACCTGGTGAGCCCATCACCGATTGCACGCAATTCGTAAAGGTAAGCTGACCTCCTAGCACCAGCACAACACGCTCAGAGATGCGTTTCGCCAAGACGTTGCCCCCCACAACAGCCAGAGCGGTGCAGAGCCCATGCCCGAGAATGGCTCCTGCAGGGCACTCGCATGCAGCATACCACTCTCTGGGTACCACAGTTTCCGTTGCTTCTTGCTTGTGCAGAAAAAGCGTCTGCACGTTTAAGACCCTGCAAAAATGCAAAAAAACACTTAACAGCTTCTTTCAGCGTACCCAAGCAAACAGCAGAGGCACTCCTGTCGGCAGCCAGGGCGAAAGTGGCTAGCTGGGAGCGGTCCCCCCATTCAGCCATGAGCGTCAACGAGGCAGCCTGCTCCACAACAACGGCATATTCCCAAGCTCCCTTCATCCTTGAAGCGACTTGGCTGAACATCCAATGTGCATACAGGAAAGTTCACGAACGACGCAGGTGTCTGTTGCAATGAATCGCACTCTGTACCTGTAGGAATACGGGACTGAAGAAGGTACGTGCAAGGCGCAACAGCTTGGACCCATTTACTGACTCCTCACTCTCGCATAGATCCTTCAGCTCCTCTGTGGCCAAAAACTCAAACGCGCCACAAAATTCAGGGAACTGCCACCGCCTTTCAACGCTGACAGGCACGGGGGCCAAAAAAAGTGCAGATGCGCAATACGCCCTCCATCCACTTTTTCGCTCGGAAATCCCACAGCCACTGCATAGCCACCGAATCAGGAAGAAGAGTGAAGGAAAGGAAAACGTGTAGTCAGGGGATGCGTGAGGTGGGCATGAGGAAGTTGGTACCTGCTTACCGGCCTCCTCTGCGGTTTCGTTGTAGACTGCAGCCTCGTGGAGCATCTTGGCTCCGAATATGACAAGGAGACAAATCATGAAGATGGTTCGCAGCTCTTGCCGCAGCAGCAGCGGGAGGAGTTGGCCGCCTGCAGCAGCCATTACAGTCATCAGCGCCAGCGCAAGGAACCCCCCAGCGAAGACGTGCCACCGACTGCCCAGCTTCTTTTGTCCCGCCTGAGCCTTCGTAGAGTTACTCGATTTTGCGCACCGCATGGAGAGAATGGCGGTGATTAAGAAGGTCTGCACGGACAACATAGACGTCCGTTGATCGATTCTGCATATGCAGCCCTAGGCACGAGCGCACCCTGCCTGACCCTGGAGAAACAAAAGGCACAGTGACTCGAATTGCCCTCCAGCAGACTACAAATTGACTTGATTTTAAAAAGTTAGCAGTAGTACCATAATCTGCGAGTCCTTTCTCACCTTGTCTCCAAGCTCGGAGCAAATAATCATGAACAAAGTGCCAACCAAGGCGGAGCTCCAGCTGCTGTTCGCCTCTGAAGCCACTTGAAACTGCCCTTCTGCTGCCTGAGCGATGCCTAAACAAGAACCGCTGCAAAGAAGAGCAAGACGGGCCCACATATTCGCTTACAGGAAGGCTCGTGAGTGAGATGGCTGGGGAGCCAGGCGGTGGCTGCACGAGTGCGGCAGTGCCTTAGTTCATCCAAGAGTCACCAGACGCCTAAAATGGGAAACAAATCTCCGAAGGCTGACGATGCAAAAGAAGGAAACCGTGAACCCCTGTGCGCGCGTTTGCTATTGCCGTTAAAGGTGACCCGGCAGACTGCGAAGCTGAGCGCCAGACCGAGAGGGAATCCAGGGCTCATTTGGGTGGCCGAACCGCACTCCCCGCAGTTAATAAGCCAAAATCCAAAATGCCGTAATTTATGCTGCACTATATACTCCAGCCCACAAAGGGATTGTCATTAGCGGGGCTGAGTTGCTCTCAGCTGAAGGTTGCCCATCACGTTGCAAGCCCCAAAGGGCCCTGCAAGCCACTCGGTACACAATGCGTGATGCTACATGCATTAGTTGCATTGTGGAATACGCATTGATGGAAATAAAGGCTTAAAATGAACAGGAAATATGACTCATCCGTCCCAGCGCTGTGCAACGCGCTAAGAAATCCTGTAACTCCCCACGTCGAAGCCAGTCTTGTGAACAGCGGGCCTACACTCTTTCTACGTATGTTCCCTAAGCTGGCCTACACTGTTTCTACGTATGCTCCCTAAGCTATTCTGATTAGGTGCACACTCTACTACTAACTACTAAAATCCAAGATTCTCGCCAAACCCTCTACGTCACACATTGAATAGCCATTATAGATTCCAGTTCATATATTGTTGTTGGGAAGAAAAATCCGAATGTATAGAACTGGCCCTCGACCCTCGCTGAAATCCAGTGCCGGAGTCACAGCAACAGCCTCACACCCAGCCCCAAGCTGGTGACGGCTGGCGAGCACTCTGATACTATGGAGCTGCTTTTCTATCTAATAGTGCTTTAATCCCTGAAGTATTCTATAGTTTTTATTCCTTTTCATGATACTAGGCCTCTAGAGGTCACACCAGAGATCCATTGTAGTGCCCATGCACTTCAGGCAACGCCCTCTGTGACTACAGTGCGCGAACCGTCCTCAACTAACACGGAAGTTGGCGAATTCAGACACAAAGTAATAGTGAGACTTATCATTACCCATATCAAGCTGGTTTCAACTTCCAGCTGCTGTACGGTGCGCGGCATGGTGTGGCTGCCTTGAGTGCGTAACTGCATGCACGTTGCCGTGTAAGGGCAAAGCAACTCTTTATCAACTGCTTATGGAGTTAATTAATTCATGAATAAGGGGAGTGGGTGTGCTTGCATGGTAAGATGCCCTACAACAGGGGCATGGCATGGAATGGTGGGTAGGCATTGGTACGTATATTTCTACTTGTTTGTAGGCAGGCCTCTGGGAGCCAAGAAAGTGCTCAACAATTGATTTTAATCTCAGAGTATTGAGCAACAGGGGGCTTCGTATGATTGATGGGTCGCCTTGCAGGTGGAGTGGTGCTACGTGCTGCAACTCATTATGTGCATGCTCCTTTCGCACAAGCCCCCGGCCTTTGTGCCGCTGTGCCCAGCAAGCCCTGGAGACTGGAAGAAAGAGCATGTGACTTTGGAAGGTGGTAATATCAAAAGAATTTCGGCTTTATTCGCAGCTCCTCGGCTAAGATCGAGGAGTCCCGTTACACTCGTGGACGACGTCGTGATTGACAGTCGGCGAAGGCGGGTGCATTCTTCATGAATTGTTTTCTCGGTAAAGATATTTTCAGCTTTATAGGACGCAAATACTGCGCTGGTTCCAGTGTGAGAAGACACCCAGCCGGGGGTTACATTCCCGCCGGAGGGGGGCAAACTCCCGTTTTCAGTTCCTCACATTTCTTCTGCTCCTCCGCCTCATCGATCTCGATGCCGTCCTTTCTGAACAGTTTGTTGTTTTTGAACTCCTTCAGCTTCTGTATCGTATTTCCATCAGTTGCACTATCTCTTTTCAACTGCTTTTCAAAGAAGGGGGGGAGTTTGCCTGTATCTGCCGCCACTTCCCCGAGATGTCGCAAATGTCTGCCCTCCTTCACCCGGTCCAAGAGGCATTGGGGGTTCCTTCTTATTACTTTACACTTTCGGCCTTTTGAAGGATTTATGTGGAGGTGCTGAGAGGAAGGTCCTACGTATATTGCATTTGCCTTCGTTTTTATTTGGCACTTTTGTCCTCGACGGGTTTCAAAGTGGTTGAAGCGCGCGTGGACCAGTCCAAAGAGGAGGGCCTTGAACTCCAGTTGCCCCTCGACGTTGAAGTGCTACGCCCCTAAATGTTCTTAGCGATTGGACAAAGGCTTGTATAAAAACTGTATTCTTCTTCTCACTACATCGGGGGTGTGCATCGGGAAGAGTTTCTGGTTGTTCATTTTCTCCCATTCGCATGTGTGCTCTTTGGCTTTCTTTGTGTCTCTTTTTCCCTTCTCCTTTTCTTGAGGGGTTTAACCTAACCATTAAAACCTTACGGCGTGTAGTCCTACCTTTTTGAGAGAGTAGATGATGTCCAAGGTGCGACGGGTTTCCTGCGTGCATGTTCGGTGCAGGTATTGCCCCGGGAAACATTCAGCATGCATATGGTGTCCTCGTAAATGGGACATGAGATTCAATTAGCACCTCTCTCCGGGCAAGACGACGAACAGCAGGTTTGGTGATACCGTGAATACTGTGACACACCACTTTTCGGTGTCTCTTCACTCCTTCCTACCCAATTTCTTGCCTTCTTTGCCTCGCTCTGACATCTTCAAAACGCATCTTAAGAGAACAATAACGGATAGACAACAAATATGATGCAGAACAACAGCAGTCCCTGAATAACGGTTTTGGGGTTCAGGGTTTAGGGTTTAGGGTTTTAGGACCACTCTCACATATCTGCAACCCGGTACGCCATGTAAAAGCTGGCACCGAACTGCCGAACCATAGAAATGTCTCCTCCCAATAGCTCCGCCTGTAACAACGCCGTGATGCACGAACGCACGATGACGCCGGCGTTCCTCTCCAGCTTGACATGATCAAGCCTGAAAGCCAACCGAGAATGCATAGCCGGCAAGTCGGGCAATGATTTAAATCTCAAGCCCATCCTTTTTTTAAATACAAACGGACAAACAGGTGTTGTCTGCATCCACTTGCAGACTGAGCTGGACGGTAGTAGGCCAGCGCTGCCCGACGCCCCGTGGAGTAGTGCCCAGCAATGCAATTTAGCACTAGAGATGGAAAGGAACGCACTTCGGCCAAAGAAGGCTGGCAAGTCTAGAGGAGGGCCACAAGACGAGGCCCAAGTAGGCAGAGCCACCTGCGCGGTGGGGTGTGGCTGCCCCAAAGGCCAGCATTCGGCGCGATGTCGTTTGGGGGGCCATGGAAGCTCTGGAGTATAGCGCCAGAAGCTAGGTAACAAAGGAACAAGGGGGAAAAACATACTGCTTCATCACTGAAGTTGAACTCAGGCGCAATTACCAATTGCATGACAAAATTATACAATTTCGGCAGTGATTTTCATATTTTGGTCCATGTCAGCCCTTTGATTACCTATCTTGCGGCTCTATATCATGATCATTTTCAATCAGGCTTCCCTCCTTCTCAGCTAGGGCAGTGGATTTGGCAGCTATTCCCTCTTTGATGCTTATGCGTTCCATCGCCCAGCAGGCTGCCGGTTGCCTCTTAATGTGGACTTCTGTCCACCAAGGATTAATGCTTGTCGACGCAGGGCTTCATCGATAGCTTTCCCTCCTTAGTTCTGTTATGATTTGTTCCCTTGCCGGCCTGGGAGTGCATTTGCATCGTAGTGCACCTGAGAAGGCTTGCAAACGCCGGATGTTCTCCAAAAAAGTTAAACCCTTGCATAGATATATGCACCATTACCTTGCTTCCACTTCTGATAAAGGAGGTGTAAATCGCAACTTTGGCTCTTTGGGTGCATTTTTGAAACAGAAGCACACTACTACCCTCGGATCCCGGCTCCTGTCATATATGCACGCTCGGCAAAGGCGGAGCCGCTCTTCATCATTTGCTTTTGCTGTAACGACACTTTTTGCTGGATGGGATATAGACACTGAGCTGGTGTCAACGGGAAGAGGCTCGCAATACCAGTTGCCTCCCTACCAGAGGGTAGATCCTGGTAATCCCCTAGATGCACGAGGAAGATAGGGATGCGGTTTGAAACACATCCCGGGGAGAGTTTCCAAAAGCTTTTTTTCCTACATCCAAAACACCCTTGGTACTAATCACAGCAAAGCAACAGCCCACCTTGCCGTCGGGCGGCGTTAGTTGCTCGCACCTGCTGTGGTGTACCGTGCGGTGCTACCAGGTGTAACGAGTCCGCGATCTCTATCCGAGGACAGCCGTTAGGCGCAATCGAGCCACGAGACGTAGGGCAAATGCTCCTAACAAGCAACTGGCCGACTTTCTAGTCGCCAGACGTTCTGGGCACAGTGGCGCAAGCGTACGGGGTTGGAAGAGAGGAGGCGGCCTGATGCGAGTTGTAACGCACCCAGGTGCAACTCGTGCTACAAGGCGCCCCCAAGACGCCTTGCCATATAACGTCCTCATGCAAGCACAACCAACCCCCATTTCCCTGTCTGCACTGACACTGTAGACAATTATTTTACTTCTGTTTGCTTGCGTGCAGACTGCCAACTAAGGCCAAATCAGTGAACATGCACCAACTTTGGAGTGACCAGACTACACACCCTTTGCTGCAACTTCTGCTAGGCAACTCTGCATGCAAGCATTCCCAAGCCCCCCTTCTAATGCATGCAGCATCGCCATAGATAATGGTAAACAGTGTGTTGGCCCCCCGTAACCAGCCAGCACGCAAATACGCACTGCAGTTGCAACAGAAGAATCACACAAGACAATTTGTCCCTGTTAAGGCACGGCAGGTATTTCTTGACGCCAAAATCGTACTTCCGGAAGACTGTATACTACTCACAAGCAAAAGGATTGAGGCGAACTCTGAACTGAAGGGGTAGTATGGCAAGAAAAAGACATGCAGCCGACAGGTAAAGGAGGCGAAAGGCGAACCCCCTGAAGAAACAGAACGGTTGTATTGGAAGTCCATCCTTTTGGGTAATCTATCTGCATCACTATCTGTTTGAACGATGCAGGCATTTCATTTCTGCCTACAACTATTCGGGGGGCTGCAGCTACTGCCGCTGCTGCCATTGTCGTTGCATGCGGCAGCGCCCCACATGAAGATGAAACAAAGGATGCCGTGAATACACGCACGACTTATTTGCCTTTTGAATTAAAGAAGTGAATAGAGTAAACAAAGCATTAGAGGTCGTCCCTCAAGACCCACAAGCGCTGCAGCGAAAACAGTAGGAGCACTGGCAGCCCTTTCATAGAGCTGGAGAAGCCTTCCGGTGGCTGGGCTCGTGCTAGCGGTCTTTGTTGATAGTGCCTCCCGGAGGCAGCGTAATCAGTGGAGAGGGCAACAGCATTAGCAACAGCAGCTGCAACGTCACCGGCCCCAGCAGCAGCAGGGGCAGCTGTTGTGTTGGACTTGGTACCTACTTGCTCCCCATGGCAACTTCCAGCACCTGGAGCAACAGCAATCCTACCAAATGCAACGGCTGAGCAGTACGTAAGCTGCTTACAGACATATCTAGTTCTGCCAGCTTCCCGTAGGGGCCGCTTTCGTCCTAACTTTCAGCTCTTCTGCTGTCCTCACCAGTTGCTTCTGCGCTCTTGTTGGCAGTAGTCTCCGTAGCGGCAGGTCAGGAATCGATTCATTCAGAACACGGGTTACCTGCTACACCATGCGGTGCACTGACAGAAGCAGTAACGACAGCAGCTAAAGCTGGATATACGGGGAGAGCGTCTCGTGGACTAGAGGATTGCAGTGCAGGCAGCAGCAGCTGCTGTTTTGGCATAGGCTGCTGCTATTGTACAGTTGCACGCTAAGTCAGATGCGGAGCAAGCTGCAGCAGATTTGGGGTTGCTGTTGGCGTGGAGGCTTATAGCCCTGCTGCCCGGATGAAGACCACCAACTGCAGCAGGAGCAGCAAGAAGCAACAGCAGCAACGGTAGCAGCACTGGTAGGATCTAGGCCGGGTTAGCAATGCAGGTGGAAGACTTCGACAGGGCTGTGAGCGCCCTATTCTCTCAGGGCAGCGCAGCTGTTAACCCTGCCACGAGATGTGAGGCAGAACAGTACCTCAGAGGTAGGCTACGACTCTTCCTCATATTTCTTTTCCAGCTGTTCCGCTAGTTGCGTACATTCTTCCTGTACCGTTGGCTGTACGCTCTCGCGTCTGCCACCTGTGTTGTGCTTTATTTCCTAAAGCAGCGCCGCCACGTTGCTGCTGTTGCGCTGCTCCCACTGCTGCTGCTAATGCTCTTGTCGCAGCTGTGACTACCTTAGCTACGCTTAGGTTGCATGACGTGTGCTGTACTTGGGGTGCTTGCGTTGCAGCGGTCTGCGGCAGTAGCAGCGGCACCTTACTGTTGCTATCGGCGCTGCAGTCCCGCTGTTCTCTAGAGGCCAAGTTCTTCGCGTTGCAGCAGCTGCTGCAGCTGCTGCCGCAGCAACAGCAGCAGCAGAGGCAGCAGGTCAAGGAGATGCTATTCAACGTAATGCGACTTCGTGTGTGTAGCCTGTGGGCTTGCCGCAGCAGCAGCAGCAGCAGCAGCAGTGGGGAAGCAGAGAGCCCTGCAGCGCAGCTTGCGGCTGCTGCCTCCGACCCAGGCTCAAGCTCCGATGCTGCTGGCGTGCACAACAAGCTTGCTTTGTTGGTGGCACGCATTCTAGCAGCAGACATCGACAGCAAGGCAGTAGCATCAGCAACTGCAGCAGCGGCGAAGGCGGTGTTCTTGCCTTTGCGACTGCTGCTGCACCAAGAGCTGTGCGCACTTTGTTTGCAGCTGCAGGAGACAGAAGATGGGCGGATAGCAGCGGCAGCGGCAGCAGCAATTGCTGACCGGTGCAGCGCCTGCAGAAGCCCTGCCTGTGCAGCAGCAGCAGGCCGGGACCTTGCTGCGACTCTGGAGTCAATCCGTGTTGCTCTGCGGGTGCTTTTGGTCTTGCACCAGGAGTACCTAGAGGATCTGCCTTCCTCCGCTGTAAGCTTCTCGCCGCTCATTGGCGGCAACGGGACGAGCTGGCGGTGCCACCGCTGAGATGCTCCTTCTACTCTGCTGCTGCTGTGCAGCGAAATTTGTGCACCTTTGCTGCAAGTGGGGTGCTGCTGTGCCAACAAGTTGCTGTGCTGCTGCTACTTATGTTGCAGCGTCTGGTAGGAGCCTGCTGCCGCTGTAACTGAGCAGCAAATGAGAGTAGCCTTTGCCTGTTGACTGAAGGCTTTCCTGTGGCTTCGGTGCAGCTTAAATGCGTTGCTTTCGCTCCGTTTGAGTGCAACTTCAACTTCTCTGATGACGGCATTGGGGAGAACTGCTGTCCTCCTGCTTGGCAGCAGAGTGCTGCTGCTGTGCTGCTGCTTCGTGCTTTGCTGCAGCTATCTACAGCACTCAAGGGCTCGTTCCCGTTCGATGAGGAAATCGCCGGTGGCGGGCAGGTGGCAGCAGCCACCTGCCCGCCACCGTTCTCTCCTCTCCTTCTGCAGCTGCTGCGGCTGCTGCAGCTGACACACAAACACAGCCCCGCTCTGGGCAGTGCGGTACAACTGTGCTGCTCAGTCGCAGAGAGGTATGTGGGGTGGATCGACTTGCTGCTGCCGCCACCGCCTCGGACAGGTGTAACAGCGGAGGCGCGGAGCAGCAGCGACAGCAGCAGTAGCAGCAGCAGCAGCCCCAATATGCTGCAGCTGTTAGGCGGAACGTGGTTGTCAACAGGCGTCTCCGATGCGGCTTCTGCAATTGTAGTGTTTATACACCGTAAGATGGAGCCTGCCGCACGGATCGACCTTCTGCGTCGCATGGAGGTGAGCATCAGGAGGTGCTGTGGCATTGGCGTGCGGCAGGCTTTTGGCTTGTGCAGTGGGTTGCTGCGTCTATTGGTGTGCATGCGCAGATTATTGAGTGGCTTTTGCACGAGATTCCTCTCACGGAGATCGCCGCCACCCCCTCAATGATAGTTCCGTTTGCCGCGATTGTCAATGCAACCACAGCAGCCTTGACAGATGCTACGGCGTCGCTGGCAGAGAAGCTGGAGGGAGCGGAGGGAAGCTTAGGCTTGGGGTCAGTAATGGCGGACAGCAATAACGCTCTGGTGGCATGCAGGAACCCTCGGGAGCTGCTGCATCAGGTAGGTGTTAAGCTGTTCTGTTGCAAGACCAGTGACAAGCCTCGCAGGCTGATCACAACTGGACGGGGATGTCATTGCTTAGTACTGCTGTGCGTATGGTCATTCCGGAGAACGTCTACAGTCCCCTTTTGCTGCTCGCATCGTTTCAACGACGCGATATGACACGTAGCTGCAGCGGTCTAGCTCACTCGCTGCCAAGTGCAGCTCCTTACTTCTGCTCCGGCTATGCTTGCAACTGCAGCTGCTGCGGGTGCTGTGGATTGTATTGGCGTGGTGGGTCGTGTTGCACTGGCTCAGGGGTTGACGGCTTTGTGGGCGATGCTGCCGCTATCGGTGCAGTTGTTGGGGTCTGGAGGTTTAGAGGTCTCGAGCTTAGTGGTACCGTCCCTGTCCCTACTGCTAACCAAAGCAGCAGTGTTGCAGCGGCAGGAGACTATCTTGCAGCAGCCGCTTTCCACTACCCGCCTTCAGAGTTTTCTCCTGGAGTTGCTGCAAGTGCTCCTTAAGAGGGTCAGCCGCAACTTCTACCCGTGCCTTTTCTGTTGCTGCTTTTCCTGTTGCTGTGTTTGCTGGTGTTGCCTGATTGTGAGCGCTGTAGACTTCTCTGCTTTCGGTGTGGTTGCAGTTGGCAGAGGTGGATATGCTGACGGGAGCGACAGAGCAGCAGCATCTGCAGCAGGAGGAGCAGCAGGTTGTTTACAGCAGCTTGGATGATGAGGAGCTTGAGCAATTGCGTGCTTACAAGGAGGTAAATGAGCCAGACACACGCACAACGCCCTTTGCTACGGTTGCCGCATTTCTCCAAAGCAGCGCAGAGTGGAGGCCGCGTTGCTGCAGCATCTGATTTTATGGTGAAGTGCGTGAGTGGTATGTAGGGCCTCTCGTAGTTGTTCCAGCTGTGTCGCGTTCCTTGTGAAGTTCGAAAAATGTGAAGATTCATGAGTCATTGGCCACGTAGTCGCCGGTCACCCTAGCGACAGTTTGGGGAGAGCAAGGCTGAGTTTGCTGCTTCGCAGGCGCTCACTGGGCTGTTCAGAAAGGCCTGTTCTGCTGACCAGAGCCGCGTGCTGCAGTGGATACAGGAGGGGATCCAGCAGCACCTGCAACACTTGCGGCACCTGCAACAGCAACAGCAACAACAGGGTCTTCAGCAGCGCAGGGAGCAGCAGCAGCAGCTGGCAGCATTGTTACACATGCTGCTTGTCTTGACCGACGACATAAGTGGTGGGAGGCCAGTGCAGCTGTCAACGTCGCCTGTGCTGCTGCTGAACAGCTGATGCTGCCGCTGTGTGCCATTACAGATTCTGGTTTTGTGCCTTTTGGGCGGGTTGTCTGCAGACCTTCCTGAGAAGCTTAAGGATACCTCCAGCCAGTTGCACGCCTGTTTGTTGCAGTTGCTACAGCTGCTGCATTGCATGCACGAATGTGGGGATTTTTCTTGTGGGACAGCAGCCGAGAATTTTATGAAGGTTCTTGTGCGTATTGCACCGCTTCTCGGCAAGCAGGAGCAGCAGCAGCACATCCCGGAGGCACTCTCGCTGCTGGCGGGGCCGCATGGCGTGTGTAGCAGCAGCACCACCGTCGCGCCGAAGGCGTGCCTGGCGTTGCTGCGATTCGTAAAAAATTGTTTACCGTACTCAGCTGCTTACACGGGCCTTTTGCTGCAGCACCTGCTGCAGCAGCAGTGCCTTGATATCCCTCGCAACAGCAACAGTAACGGCGGTCCTCGTCAGCGACGCGTGCGGCCTGCAGTTTCTCCCAGCTGCGGCAACAGCAGTAGGCAGGAGCCCTTGGCGCTGGCAGCAGCAGCGGATGTTTATGTCCACCCAAGGGCGTTCCAGGTGGAGCAGCAGCTTCTGTTGTTCGAGGCGGCGGGGGTCCTGCTGGGCTGCAAGCAGCAGCTGCACAGTCGGTCGGGGAACTCTCCGCAAGAACAAGTCTTGCTTCTGCATGCACTGCTTGCGAAAGCCACGGCGGCCTTCACTTCCGAGATTGTAGGCGCCATAGCGTTATATTTGCATCAGTTGCAGGGCTTTTCTAGCTGCTACGCTTTCAGCAGCCCGTATGCTCCGGCAGGCTGGCTGCGAATTGTTGCAACATGAGGCTATCGTCGGAAGATACCTCTCTTGTGCTTATTTCAGTCCTTTTACTGCTGCATGTCTGTTTGTATGCCATTATGTTAAGATATAATAGATATTTTGATGTTCGCTTGTTTGGGTGGTGCAGCAGCCTGCTGGAGGGGATACGGCGCCGGCAATGGCGGTGTATTGTTCACGCTGCGCCAATGCGCTGGCTTCTCTTTCAAAGGGCTTTCAGCCCTTCAAGCTTTCGGGTGCCCTAGTTGGTGGGGGGATCGTTTGCAGTTCAGGGGCCGAGGCAGAGGCCTCGATACAAAGGGAACTCGAGAAGTCCTGGCTGCGTGCGCTGCAACTCTTCACAGACGCTGTGCGCGTAAGCCCTTGACACATCTGTGGGCGTAGTCTTCGAATGTAGGGTGTAGGGCCAGAATTTTGCGTTGGGGCCCAAGGGTGTGGGTTCGGGGTTTCAGTGTAGGTTGTAGGAACTCAGCGTCTGATCATGTATGCTTTTCAGTTAACAACAGCCGACGCATGGGCCTGCCGCTGCCCTTCCGCTTGGCTTTCTTTCTTTGTGGCGGTGCCGAGTGCATCTGTTAGTTTTTGCATTGTGCTAGCGTGTTTCCGTGGATCCGCCTGTCTCCTTTGGTCTGTGCGGCTAAGCGTTGCTGAGGATAGGGGTGGGGCGATGCGTTGCTACGCTGACAGGTGGCAGGGGCACAGGGCAGCCCTTTAAACGTTGGAGGCACTAGCTTGGTGCTGCTTCCTCCTTTGCTGCATGCATGCATTTTTCTCCTGCGGCGACTTCTTTCTCTTTTGGGGCCCCTCGCAGCCTCTTCCATTGGGGCGCTGGTCCCGTTGTTGTATGATGCTGTGCTGGTGGAACCCGACGGTGCAGCAGCTGCATCGGCAGCAGCAGGCAGCCTGCAGCAGCAGCAGCATTCCCCAGAACTCGCCGCCGAGCTACTCAGCGGCTTCTTCATGCAACTCTTTGTCTCTCTAAAGGGACCTCCTCTACTCTTCTTGCTATTGCAGCATTTCCCTTTGTAGGCTTCCATCCCGTTTGACTATTTCTGCAGGCGCACAGCTGTTGCTGGCTACAGCTGGGATCTACGTGCGAACAGCAGTTTAGTTGCCCTCCCGTCTGTCCTGTGGATTGTTGCAAAACGTGAGATGTCGCAGCTTCTGTCTGGGTTGTCAAGTTTTCGTTTTGTTTGTATAGGGTACTGGAGAGACACTTGGGGCTGTACCTGAAGGCCGTTGCTGCAGCCTCTCAAGAACCCAACTCCGCCGAGCTGCAGCGAGAATGTCGAGCGGTGCAGGAGCAGTTGGCCTTTGTCCTTGCAACGGCGGCGAGGGAAGCCCCGGAGGCGCTTCTGCGCTTTGGTGCCGCTTCACTGATTCACGTTGACAGCAACAATAGCATCAACGGCGAAGGCAACAGCAGCAGCTGCAGCAACAGCAGCGCTTCCTGTTTCCTACGTACACTTACGCAGTGCCTCGAAGGGGGCAGCAGTGCAAGCCCGGACAGCAACCTCGTGGGGCGACAGCAGCATGCATTGCTACAGCTGCTGCATCAACAGCAGCAGCAGCTGCATCTGTTGCTTTTTGGGTCGCTGCGTTCCGTGTGTGGGGAAGCTGCAGTGACGTCGAGGGTCCCCGAAGGGACTCCTGTGCCTCACGGAATTGCCAGCACCACATGGAGGTGCATTTTGCTGTTGCTGCTACTGTGCTGCTACCCTGGCGGCTCGCCGACAGCAGCAGCCGCAGCAGCGGTGCAGGCTTGGGCGCATCTTGCGGCCGCCTGTGTATGCAGACCTGAGAGCTGCATAGACACACAGCAGCAGCTGGACCAGCAGCAGCAACAGCTGTTGCAGCAAGTCGCGCAGCTTCCTATCGAGCTGCAGCAAGTCCAGGAAGCAATGAGGGACTTTACGAGGCAAAACGCTACCCTTGAGGCGCAACTGCGGCAGCGGCGTTCCCAGGGTGCGTCTTCACAGATGCTGCAACAGCCATTGCAGCAGAGTGAGGAATTGCAGCTACTGCGGGAGCAGCAGCGTCAGCGTGTCCAGGGAATTCACTTGCAGCAGGCGGGGCAGCAGTTATCGCTTCTTCTCCCGCTCTCTCCTCTCTTTTATGTGACCTCCCGTCTATTGGCGTCGCTTAAAAATGACGATCCTCAGCATGTCAAGGTATACTGGTGCTACTGCTGCTGCTCTTGCTGAACTTGAGGCATCGCATGGCGCACGGACAGTTTAGGCTTTAGGGTTCAAGGCATCCCAGCAACTGCTCAGCGTGTTTCTAGCCAAAGGCCATGGCCCTACTTCTTTGCGGCTTGAGTTACTGCGTGCATCCAATTGGAAATAATTGCCGTTTTTCCCTTCCTCACCTGCAGTTTATTTTGCCCTTTTTCATCGTTTCCTTATTCTGTTGAGGTTTGCTGGTGCTTTTGTTTCTTCTCGCACTCCTGCGTTCGCTTTGTCGTGTCTTGTCCTGGCCTCTTTTTGAATTCATAAGGTGCATTTCCGCTTTATCCTGCTTCTGATTTTTATCGTCGTCCTGGCCTTTCTGTGTCCTGATTTGTGTTTGGTCTTCGTTGGTAAGTTAGTCTCCTCTGTGGTTCTTTCTGGTTCGGCTTTTCTCCATCTGTGTTCTTTCATTGTTTTGCTTCCATATGCGTTCTATCCGTCCTTTGTGCGGCGTTCATTTGCAGCTGGCAGCGGACATCGGAGGCCTATGGCGAGTCTGCGGATACGGGATGCCTCCGGGGACTCCTCAACGGACAGCGACAGCAGCAGCAGCAGCAGCAACAGCAACAGCAGCAGCCCAGTTCGTATCCCTTTTCAGTCCACTGCGGAGCGGCCTGCAGGAGGCGCTAAGGGAGGGACTTTCTGAGCGAATTGGCGATTCTGGTGCTGTTACTACTGCTGCCGCTGCCCTAGTGGAGGTACGCAAGCGCTTGCTCAAGAGTCACACCACTGGTTACTGGATGCTCCCATCTGCTGATGCCGTTTACGACTCAAAGGAACACGAACTTCTGCTAGACGGCCTACACACGCCCTCTCGGGACGTCTTGACATGCATTCATGCATCGCTAACGTGCGTGCATGCGCCGTTCCCGTGGATGCATGTATGCGTGAACCATTTCCGTGCGTGCATGAACCGTTTCCATGGGTGCATGCGTGGTTTCTGCAGGCGTTGGGACAGACAGACGGACAGCAACTCCGAGAAGTGATGAGGACTTGGAGGCGTCAATTTTTGCCGAAGTAGAGGCAGCGGACTTCAGCACTAGGCGCGCCTGCTGACTCAGCTCGAAGTGCAGCAGCTGCAGTTAACACTTCCGTTGATGGCAGCAGCAACTGTAGTAATGGCAGCAGCAGATATGTAGGCAGCTGGCGCTCTGGTGGTAATTGGAGTTCGGCTGATGGTGTGTAGATAGCTCGTGCTATATGGGCAACAGATGTATAGACAACTGGCGTTGCATAGACAGCTGCATTTGGTGTATAGATGGCTAAGCATATGCTCGGTTCGTTTATTTGGGCTACTTAGATGTGGAGCCTGTGCGAGTTGAATGTTATGCCCCGTGCGGGCGTACTCGAGCTCACGTCTTTAAATGCAAAACAACAGGTTAAAAGTCGATTTGCACTTGCGGACGTTTCTGGTTTCATTCCCAACGGAATTCACGGAAATTTTGGTACTCCTAGTGTTGGCTGCGCTGAGCACACTGCAACTGTTCTGCCACCGACGGGCAACGAAGGCTAGCTCCGGACGGCACATGCGTAACGTTGCGGGGGACGGCTTGGTGTTCGCACTCTTGCGCATTTTGCATGCCCTGCAATATGCAAGCACTTCAACTCCCCTGGGTTTGAAGTACCTACGGGACGTCCCTCGTAGTAATTTCCTCGCTGATTTTGTGCTCCATTCATTCGCAAGCCGCTGCACAGCTTCAGCAGAAGCATACCCATGCAGAGGTATGGGAATGGCTGCCAAGAATTGCAACGCCAGGGCAGCCCACGGTCTTTCGGGGTAACCCAGGGGAGCTGGGGATTGTAACGCTGAATAGTGCGCTGTTGTATTAAAAGCTATTCCACACGAGGAAGGGAATCAGGTCACCAATCTCGTTGGGTGTAGAGCCGCACACAATGGACCAGCGTGCTGATCATGCATTACCGCTCGCATCCGGGTGGCTCGTTGTGGTCATATCGGCCTACATCAAGCAGCAACGTGAGTTAGCGCCAGAAGGCGCCAACGAACTTCGGTCCCTTAGCAAAAAAGATGATTGCGGGGAAGCGATGGAGCGTCTAGGCATTTTTAACAAAATTGAACCACTCCCTCCGCTGGCCCTCTGCTGTAACTGAACACGAACAGGGGATGTATTGACGACACCGTAAAAAGCTATGAAAGTTTGTGGTTCCTAGTAAAGCCACTGTGAAATCCGTTGAAACAACCGTCCGTGGCGGTATAGGAATCACCGTCCGTTCCTCAGCCACCTGTGCATGTAAGGGGTCTGAAGAACGCATTTTTAAAAAGGAAGCAAGCGCTGCTGCAGGCAATTGTAGTTGCATTCCACAACGCTTGGCCAGTGGGGTGTTGGAATAGTGCTTCACCGACAGCGTTGCTGATACCCTTGAAACACATGACTGCCAAGTCGTAAGGCGGGAGCCGGAAAAACCGCCCAACAATTCTATCATTATCGAAGCCTTGAAAACTTCTCGTCAGGCGCTTTTTGTTTACTCCCCACCAGACCGCGGAGTGCTCCGAATGCTTCTGCTTTTCTGCCGTGAAACGGGGTGGGTAGCATCGTGATTATTCAACAATTCTTCAAGTCGTTGGATTGCTGAGAAAGCAACACCCCAAATGCTGGGTCACTGCCGTTAGTTCCTAGGGAAGAGTATGTTGAAATGTGGGAGCGCCTGCGCTGGAGGCGACGCCAGATGGGGTCTTGCTTATGGCAGTCTCTGCTTCGACCTCTGTCTAGACAAGTTGTTCGTCCTTCTTGCGCAGACCCGGTAGAGGGGCTGAGATGCAAGCAAACCAAATGGGTGGAGCTACCGTAGTAGGATGCGAGACCGAGGAACTTCTGAACGTCCGGACGAGTGTACAAATATAGCGCGCACTTCCGTAGTGTCTCTTGCTTCGTCGGATCTGACTCGGGTCGCGCTACCGAGACACGAAGCCCTGAGAAGGAAAACGGACACTTTCGTGTTTTTAGGAACCACCGTTTCTCACATGAGAGCTGCAGAGCACGCTGCATGCGCCGCAAATTCTTCTGCAAAATTGGGCTGTATACACGCACGTTCTCTATGTGTATGATAAGCGATTTCTACAGTTCCGCCCCACAGCCCCCTCTCCGCCGGCCTACCCAGTCACCGATCACCACTCTCTGCGGTGGACCTCTGGTATGGAAAGTTGATTTAGAAGCTCCGAGTTCGCCGTTGTACTTCTGTTCACTGTATCTGCCTTGGCATATTCTTCCTGTCGTAGAGCTATAGCGGCAGATGCCCTGGTTGGACTTTTCTCAGTTCTGTCATAGTCTGTTCCCTTGTCGACCTGGGAACGAACTTACATCGCAGTACATTTCGAAAGATATCCAAAGTCTTGATGTGCTCCGGAAGAGCAGTGCACTCGAATATGTATACCCACCATTGCCCTGGCTCCCCGTCTAATAACGAAGGTTCCACTTGCCACTGTACCTCTTCGGCTGCACTCTACAGAAGAGAGCACAGTTCAAGGGGAGCATCAAATTCGTCCACTGCCCCTTCATTGAGGCGTCCATCATATCTGCACGGTCGGCAGATGCACTCTTCACAAATTGTTCTCGATACAGAGACTTTCTCCTCTGGATGGGATGTAGGTACTGCGCTCCCTCCAAAGCGAAGAGGCGCCCAGCGACCTTTCCCCTCCCCACCGGAGAGCAGATCCTGAATGATCTCGATTATGCGAAAGGACTACAAGGTTGAAGTTTTGACAAGTATTCTAGGGAGAATACAGATTTTCTAGGTCTCTGTTTTTTTGCAAAGTGTCTCCGTTACTGGTCAGTGCTATGCAGCGGGCCACCCTGCTGTGCCGTTGAAGTTCGCTGCTGGCGCAATCTGCCCTGATCACCTGATCAACTATGTGGTGATACTAAGCGGAGGGAGGGCTCTTAATCTTCGCTGAGGAACGTCACAAGCTGCGGTAGAGTCGAATACTTAAACGAATAGTTCCTCCCAGAAGAACTGGTCTCCCCTTCAGTTCCTCAAAGTCATCGACACAGCGGCCCAAGGTCCCCTTGCTGGTGCGGAGACGACGCGGCCCGTCATGCGCTGCAAAAGTACCTTCCGGCAACCAATGCCGCCAGCTGCATGTGTAGGCGCAGCCACATACTCATGCTCCACCAATGCAGACAGTTGTTAAACACTTATTTACCCCTGCATAGCCAGCCTGCCTGCAAGTAGAAGGCCACGTACCAAACCTAAGCATACTGTGCCTTCCAACAACGATGCGACGAAGCCACATCTTCACTAGCTATGGCATACCATTGTAGGTACATGCAGCAAGGCTATATAGGTCCCTTTCGTAAAGATAACGTATTTTGAAAGGTGTGAAGGAAGGAGAAAATACCTGCGCTCTCCCTCTCCGCGCCGCATACCCCCGCTGCGACGCAGTGCAGAGGGGAGTGTAACCGCATCGTTATAGTGCCCTTCAGTTGCAGAGGGACTAGAAAGGTTCGTACCCAAATACGTCGACTAGTCCAATTCATATAAATGTAATCCAATGGACATAGCAAAAATGCTCTCTCGCCCTGAAACGGCCCTACGCGCCCGTACCTCAGCCCCAAGCGGGCTGGAGACTCGGCGTGGCGCAGTGCGTATCGTGCTTATGTAGGTGCAAATATTATCTATTAGGTTAGATATTGGTGTGTAAAAAGCAGTTGGCAATAAAAGCTGCCATTCTTCTGCCTGTGCTTCCCAGGCACTTATCATCAGACACCATGGGGTCTGCAACAGGCGACAGCGCTGAGGACAACCGCTTCGACGGCTTGTTTGCAACAGTGGCAGAGCAGGCGGGCGGTATTGAACCTCTCTTTGATTATTTCTTCGGTTTTCTTTGTCGGAAGACAGACTTTTTTACCGTGGGCCGCGCTGCGTGCAAGGACATGCTAGACAAGTCTTTCCGCAAGTGGACAGACAAAGCCACTGAAAAAGCCGAGAGAGAGCGCTTACAACGTGAGGAACAGCAGAAGAAGCAACAGCAGAAGCAGCAACAGCAGCAGCAGCAGCGGCATCAACAGCGGCAGCAACCAGTAGACCTGAGCAGTAGGCCGAAGGTCGAGGAGCTGACCGAGGAAGAAGAAGCGCTCTTCGCCCCTCCTGAAAGTAAAGCAGCAGAAACACCCTCCACGGCAGCGGAAGGAGCAACAGCCAGTAGCAAAGAAAAGGGAGAGGAAGGATCTACTTCAGACGACGACAACGAAAGCTCTCGACCGGAGGGCAACGGGGGCCAGACAGACAAGTGAGGCGGCCTCTTAGCGTATATTAATCATTTAGTACTATATTGAGAGTGTGTTTGCATTTGCCGCCTGCAGGGAAGAGGACAAGTCCCGGAATTTGTTTGTTTGCGTGTACTCATCTGTTCCTTTTTTCCTTTTGCCTTTGTGCGTTTGCTTATGCTTTGTTTGTCTTCCGTTTATTCTCTGCGCTTCGCCATTTTTAGGTATCGGTGGACTCAAACCTTGGAATCTGTGGATGTCTACGTGCCCATGGGCGAAGGCGTGCGGGCGGCGCAGTGTCAAGTGAAGATAACTGCCACTTCGCTGACTTTGGGTCTTAAAGGACAACCACCGATTTTGAGTGCGAAGGAGACCACGCTTCGATGCTGTATTTGCGTATTTTGCCTCGTTTTGGAGCTTGTTTTATTTGCTTCACGGTGGCTATAGCTGGTTCGAGTTGTTCCCAGATTGTTTCGCCTGCCCATCTTTCCTTTTGAACTGCATGGAGTCATTTGTCCTCCTGTCGCTATTTTGCCTCTCCCATGCTTTTCTTTGTCGGCTTCCCGAATCCTGTCTCCGTCTGCTCTGCAGATGTTTGGATTTGTCTGTATGGGAGTAGCTTCGTCTTTCAGTTTTTGTGGAGGCCATTCGCGTGCCTTGTTTTTGTTCTTCTCTCCCACACAACCGAAAAGCATCGCAGCTCCCCTTTTGTCTGGTCGCTTGCCAAAAATATTTTCGCCTTTTTGTTGGCTTGCGGTGCTGCATTTAGACGGGGAGTTCTCTCAAAGAGTGCAGGCGGAGGACAGCATGTGGACACTGGAAGACCGAAAGACTCTCCACCTCAGTTTGGAAAAGACAGACAAAATGCGTTGGTGGAGTTGCGTCTTGAAAGGCGACCCCGAGATCGACACCAAGACGATTGTCCCTGAGGTACGTGAGAGCAATCATCAACGGTGTCAATCACCCCTTGACGAAATGGATACTTCCGTATATGCCTTCAACTGTATGTGCCTCTGTATACTGTTTCGTATTTGTATATCCCATATATACATCATCTATACACAAATAAGTGTCAATGGGACACGGAAAGTATCACCTGCTACTGTGTACCAGTGATGTATTGACTTGCTCTAATTAAATCAGTCGATCAGCACGAACAACCAGCAAAACATTGCTTTAGTCAACACGCTCAAGTTCCAGCAGTGACCTTGCACAGATCCAAATAAGCAGCACTGCAGAACATCTGTACGCATAGAATGAGCCGATGCGGGCATGCGCTACTCTGCTCATCGATTTAGTGGATGCTATATTTGTGGTTCGTGCATGCCCATGTGCGTATGTACACGACCTATGCAACAGTACGCATGCGCAGATTTGCATTGGTCGACTTATTTGGTTAGATCAACCTTCGTGTGTAGGGCGTAATGGGTAGGACTGAGCGTTTAGGGTCTGGCTTGCGTTGTGTGTGGCTGTGTGCTTGTGAAGAACTCGAAGCTGTCCGACTTGGACCCAGAGACCCGCGCCACAGTCGAGAAGATGATGTACGATCAACAGCAGAAGCAGAAGGGGCTGCCCACGAGCGACCAGCAAAGGCAGGCAGAAATGCTAGAGAAGTTCAAACAGGCTCATCCTGAGCTGGACTTTTCGAATGCCAAGATTAACTGGGGAGGCTCGGGTTGGGGCGGCTAAGGATTCATGTTCTGGGCGTTAGGCTTACGCTTGCGGGCTTAGGTTTTAGTGTTCCGCTGCGGGTTTTTCGTTGGTGGGCTTGTCTGCTCACACTGTTTAGACACCTAGGGCTCCACTACATGCATACTTCCATACTTCAGGTTGATATAGGCGCATTGCTGTAAATATACCTATATGTTATACGTAACGTATGCATATGTGCGCAGAATATTCGTGGCTTTCTGTCTAGTATTTTCTCAGAATACGCAAGTATAAATACCTGCCAAGCGCAGCTGCTTTTGCCTACAAGTGCGAGTTATTCACATATTTATACGTACATCCTAAATAAATGGGTATCGATGTGCGGGTATGCATCTGTATAAAAACCGAAGCGGTGTGGCTGGGGCCTGCCTTATGGGGCGGCTTTCCTTGGGTTTCCCTGGGGGTTGCCCGGGACGAACAACAGACTAACGGGGAGGGCTTCTCTTGTTATGCTTTCTGGTTTCGTTTCGCTCTGTTTAATTTCTTTTGTCTTTCCAACAAACCAAGGCGACGATTCGTCAAATGCAGGTTGGGCAGTAAGGGGTCCTTGGTGGGCTTTCTTTGGACAACGGAAGCCCGCGGAATCACCCGCACACCGTTTAGCTCCAGGGCACTGTGTGCATTAAGCTGAACACCGTCTCGTTTGGGTCATTTCGTTCAAGGGTTTAGCGAAGAATTTAGTCACATAGCAAAGGGAGCCACAGGCGGCCGTCTGGCGGTCGTTCGTCTTTGCACAGAATAATGGGGAGGAATGGAGCTCCCTACGGAATGCGAATTGGGGGCTGCAGTGGCGACGACACCGGGACACATACAAAAGGAAAAGGTACAAAAAGCAAAACGGTAGAGGAGGGCATCGAGAAACAGGCAAGCAGAGGCTCACGCAAAACGAGAAGGAAACATAAGAGAAACAGACACGCTCGGTAGGAAGCGTCTCATGGAGCCATTTGGTGGTCTGAGGGCCTGCTATTCCCCTCGTGGGAGCCTAGAGGTGTCCTACAACAGGTTGGTGCCCACACGCTAAAAGACGCATCGTGGAAGTGTGAATGTACATTGCGCGTACGCATACACTCTGCGAGATTTTATGTTACGCACCTTGCGGAGACGATATTTATTATACTTACATGTTGCACAGCAACGGGGGCAAGCCAGGCGTGGCTTCTTCCGGACTAGCCGGTGTATCTTGAACCGCCGGATGCTTGTGCGTGTGTGTTCAAGGAGGAGCAGTTGTGTGTTTTGCTGCAATTCTCGGGTCCCAATGCACCATCAGATATGGCCATGTTGTATGCAGTGTGTTAGTGGGAGAGGCGGCGGCGTTTGGCCGAACTGGGGACCTGAAGTGTATTTGGGGTGATAGGGGGTGAGAAGCGTGTATGCATGCGTCAGGAATGGCCTCCACTGAATGATTTGCAATACTGTCCTGTAACCCTGTTGCATTCACAGCTGCACACCGTTTATTCGGAACGTTTCATATTGGGGAGCGGAAATACGTCAACATGAATCGAGAGCACATACGCGTAGGCTCCGCAGCATTAGATTAGGCCACTCAATAAGATGCACATAATCTAAAAAGATGGCGCAGCACAATTTTGTCTATCTACTTTTATTGATAAGTAAGTACTAGTGCAGCTCTTTGCTGTCAACCCTCGCCGGCTCCGGGCTTGAGCGGCCTTGCAGCTGGAAGTCCCCCTCTGCCCGGAACACAGCCACAAAACGTTAAAATGCTGGAGCTGGAACTTTGAGTTTTGTCATCGGGTGATTATGCATATCCTCATCTGCCCTAAAAGAGCGGAAGAACAGCAGCAGAATCTCACATGCTGGAGGAGCGGTCCACTGGCTCGCGGACTGCATGCCACTGGCGGCCTCCCGCCAGTTCTAGGGCCCGCTTCCGTCAGGCCCTTGAACTGGCGAGAGGCCGCCTGTGGCACCTTACGCTAAATAAAAGGAAGTGGGAGGGGGAAAAATTCATTTCGAGTTTAATATAAACGCGAGAAAGACCTATTTGCTTATAGAGCCGCCGGGTGGGCGGCGCTTAATGGGTGCCTCTCATGTCTAAACCCAAAGGCGCCACTGCCTCCTCCGCGCCTTCACCGCTGGAAAGAAGTGGAAGGCAGTTCAACAATGAGCGTTTTAAGGACAGAGATGACTTCTGGTTGGATAGGGAAGCATTCTCGGTATTTGCACGGCAGCTAGACACCTCCCCGGTCCGCAGCGGCTTCGCTCTGCTCCTGCTGAGCCCATGCCAGTCCCCTGCGGTGGAGAGCAATGGTAACCCCACTATGGGTACCCGAGGGTTCCACGGGACTCCCTATTCTGGCAGCACCACTGGACAGCAGTGGCTGCGCCGATATTGCGAGGTGAAGGGCAACGTCTTCTTCTATGCGCCGCACGCAGAAGCAGCCTTTGAGGGGGCGTATTTGCTTGAGGACTTTGTCTTTCAGAGCCTTTCTCCCACTCGAGCTCTTGCTATGGGGGTGGGCATTACACGGGCCCGCTGCACCGGCGCCTGTTCTCTTTAGGGTAGCTACTGTTGAAGCGTTCATGCACTGCTGCATGTGAACAAACCAGCAGCTGTGTAGGGTACCTGCGGATGTGTTTGTCTCAGCTAGTGCCAGAGTTGCCTCTCACGGAAGGAGACGGGGACCGGGTGAAGCAAGGGGCTGTCCTGGTGGGAAGCAGCCGTCACGACGGGGTGTATGGACGGTATGTGAGGCCTCTTGTGATGCTACTGGAGTCCTCGCGCGTCGCTGCTAGATGGAAAGAAACCTGCGAAAGTTGCAGCGCAGCCGCCCTGCAGCAGCATGTACGTGAGCTGCAGCAGCTGCTGCAGCGGGAACGAGCTGCTGCTTCGAGGGAGAAAGAGGCCACAGCGCTGATAGCCAAGCAGCAAGAGATTGCCCTAAGGGAGACAGAAGGTTCAAAACAAACACTTCTGGTGCGATGCAATACCTGTTTCCAGGCACAGACGAGTCCCCGTCCCCGTATTCCTTCGAGTGCATGTACCCTTCACTTCCTTTACCGGCCTAGCCAAGCATCCAACCACCACAACTATCGTATTAAAATCCTCACACCACAAGGCTTTTGGTAAAGCCTCTGTGCTGCTGCTGTTTCTGATCTGACTGCTGCGAGGGCTGGTGCTGGTGTCTCCGTGCTGCACTTTGTTGGCGCTGCACCGGCTACTGTTTCTGCTGCCATTTTTTGTATTGACGTACAGCTGGAGATAGAGCGTCTGCAACAACGCAACCAGCGTCTTCAGGCCACTGGAGAGGTGACTGAGAAGGCGGCAGCAGAATTTGTAGATCAGAAGATGCACGAAGTGTCCTTCCTTCAGAATGAACTTGCCTCGCAGCTGGCGGGTACAGCTTTCCCCTTTTTTGTTCTTTTTGTGCTTGTTCCCGTGTCCTCTGCTCAATATTTCCGCCTGACCTGTATTATCGCTTCTTTTTCTGTGTAGGGAGTGGTTCTGCCCACCTACGCCTGTTTGTCTTCCTTGCTTGCGCTTGTCCTTGTTCCTGTCCAAGGAGACGCCTGCATGCATACGCATGTGTCAGCGTGGCGTGTTTGCTGCTCTGTCACAGTTCAGGCTCGGTGTGTGCTCCTGCTTGTGTTCCTGTGTGTGCGAATCCTGAGAATGGTGTTGCCGCTGTCTAATGCTTCGCAGCATCACAGTGAGTGTGTGTGGCTGAGCTGCTGCTGTCGACGTGGTTTGTACTGCTAGGTTGCAAGCGCCTTGAGGCGGAGGTTGTGGAGCTGCGTGAGGCGTTGGGGGCTTCGCAGCAGAAGGCACAGCAGCTGGCGACGGAGAATAGCCGCCTCAACTGCCGCGTATCGGACCTACTGGAGGATTTGGAAGACGCGAAAGATAACCCATCTCGCTTCGCTCTTGTGATGAATCGCCTGCGAACCGCCAATCAAAGGGCTGTAATTGAAAATAAACGCCTCAGGCAAGTGCACAACACCTTACGAAAGAAACACATCATCCCGCTCACTCTCCAACGGTGCAGCAGGCAACTTGGAGGGCGTCCACCAGCCACGCGGCTCATTCAAGGGGCCCCACACCTGCGCCTAGCAGTTGCTGTGGGGTACCAGCCACGAACAGCTACACTAGCAGTAGCCTTGGGTTACAAAGTCCCCGCCGCAAGTCGATGCACTGTCGCCTGCCGCAGCGCTGAGGCTGCATTTTTCTGGAGGTGTGGGAAGGCTGTTTTCTCTTTCGACGCACATGGCGAAGTTGTTGCTGTGCGATGTTCGGTTTTGGGCGTGACCGCAAATGGCACTGGAAGCTGTCCAAGAGCAGTCCTTGCCTTTTTGTGTCGTTCATTTGTATGTTTCGTCACTGTGACTCGCTGCTTACGTTTATTTTTTCACCTGCTTCACTGAGCTGGTACGTCTGTCCATTGCCTACAGGGAGGAGAACATATCCTTGACGCAAAACTTCCATCAACTGGAGGACAAATTCAAAGAAAAGGTAGGCACCAATGCCCTATGCCCTTTACAACAAACCAGAAGTCTCACACTAAATCCCCTAGCCCCAAACGCTAGCCGCAAAACCGAAACCGTAGACGTCAGTCATGCAACGTGAAGGGCTTCCACATAACAGCCATGGTCCCTGGTACTAAACCTTCTTTCCAGATGAGGCAAAGGAGAGAACGAAAGGGTTTTGCTTGCAAATGATCGCTTCCCTGTCGTTGGTCCTCCTTAAAGGGAGACGGCTAGCATGCTGTTGTTGCTGCTGCCGTTGCTGCTGTGCTGGTGCTTATGTTGCTGCCGATGTTGGTGACAGTGGTCCAGCTGCAGCAAAGACAGGCCCAGTAAATGCATGTTTTTGTGCTATTGCTAAGGTGGCGTTGATTCGCCAAGTGGCGGAGATGGGAGATGCCTTCGACTTGTTGAGGAAGTGGTTAACGTGCAGCGAGCTTAAAGTGGGACCCACAGCCTGCAGCCTCATTTTTTGAGGCTCGTATTACGTGTGGGAGCTTTGGATCGTGCAGAGTTGAATCGCCTTGCTCGTGGTATAATACCAGTTGCGTACAGTGAGCGCACCAGTACCTGCAGGGCGGGGAGGAAGGGCACGCTGAGGAAACTCGGGCTGTGTGTTCAGGGGAGGTTTTCTTGCGTAGATTGCTGCGTTACGCAGATACGCTTCTACGAACAAGGTTACAAATGGTCTTCCCAGCAGGAACAGGAAGAGCGCGAAAAGTTAGTCGTTGTTCAGCGCATTGGGTTTTAGGGTTCAGGATATCCGTGGGTCTCTCTGGGATCGCGTAGACAAAGAAAACGCCTGAGAGCGGGTGGGAAGCGGATACGGCTTTCCAGCATTGCGGAGAACTCTCGTTGTAGCAGCCTGCTGTAAATGCATGTAGTGGAGTTAGGGTACGGCCAAGGGCCTAGGGTTTAAGGCTGGGGGCTTGGGTTTTTCCTTTTTGAGTTTCTCTCCAGAATCGAGGAACTTCAGAGAGCCATTAGGGTCGCGGAGGCTGCAGCGCGGTCGAGTTACATATCCCACAGGGCTTTTCTGTTGGGCCAACAGCTGAAGGCCTGCACCGTCAATCCTTCGCAGAAGGAAGTATATGCGTTCCTTAAATGCGTAGGCATACCGTGCTTGCAGCTAAGCGCATGCAAAAAATGCACAGCACAGAAACTACATTCACAGAGACATTCTAAGTACCCTTATTCTATTTTTAAAAATTGTTTTCTCCGTTGCTGGGGCAAGAGGAAATGGAAAATAGGGACGACGACGCGCGTAGGAGACAAAGTCCTTGATCCTTGGTCAGCAGCAGAGTGTTCAAATAATAGCAAGGTAGACGGGCCACAGACACGAGGAGGAAGGATGGAATGAATTTCAAAGACAAAGCTGGGCGAAGGAAGCAGACAAAGCTGGGCAAAGGAAGCACACAATGCTATTTGAAATTCGTTTTTTCTTCCTCGTCAATGTAGCTGCATATGCATTCCCTTCTCGCGCTTTTTGTCTCCTTTCGCTGTGTGGTTGTTCCTATTTCTCTAAATTAAACAGAAGAAAAGGAAACGAAATTGTTGGGAGGAGGAAGCGGGAGGGGGCCTCGAGTCGGGCCAGCAGCTTTCCGAGGGCGTTGACTGTTTCTTTGCATGTTTGCGTGCGTGTTCGTTTGCTCTATGCATGCTTGCCTGACTTTACCGCAGTTTGTGTTTGCGTTCCCCCTTCTTGGTTTGCTAGTATGTGCGGATGTGTTTTTGTGTGCGCGCTTGTTTGCCTTTCTGAATGGAGACCGCTTCCTTCTTTCCTCATGCTTGCTAGAATGCGTGCATACATGTTTGTTTCCCATTGTTGTTTCCCTCTTCTACGCGCCTTACGTGCCTCCCAGTAGTAATCTATCTGGTGTTTTTTCGCGTCTTTTATATTGTTTGTTTGGATATTTGCTCACTTGCCGGCACGCTTTTTGGAAGTTTTATGTGTATTCTTGTCTGTGTGTTTGCACGCATGCAGAAGCTGGATCGCTTCGGCTGGTTGTTTGGGGAGGCTGAGCCCAGCCAGCTCAAAGAGGAGGAGGGAGAAGGACTGTGTTTTGGGTGGCACGCTGGGGGGGACGGCGCCGGGGACGCTGGCCGAGGGGAGGCGATTTACCCGTTTGGAGGTCCGCGGCAACACACCATGGAACCAGTCGCTCTAGAGAACAGATAACACAGAGGTCCACACAGGAAACAACACCAAAGGAAACAGAGGACGAACAACTTCCCCATGCAAAACGAACACACAAAGACGTTGCCTTGCTTGTATCTCCTTCTTCACTACCTGGGTATAGTGCAAGGATTCACATTTCCTCTCTGTGTTTGTTAGGGCTGGAGGGTGGCCCCCAGCTGAACTTGGTGGCGGACGTTTGCGTTCTGCGAGCTGTGGAGAAGCTCGTTCCCGCTGGGGAGTACCTCAAGCTCAAGAATTTGCATGCTTTGCTGCAGCTAGACTTCTCCGAACTCAAGGAACTCCACCAACAGGCAAGCCGGTCAACCGTTTCCTTGTTGTCGGGCCGCGTCCCTTCCTTGTCTCGTTTTTGCCTTTTTTTCAGAGCATTTTATCAGCATTATAATCCCCACTGTTGCGAGTATAGCAAATGCCCCTCTCCTCGTGCGAGTTTCCTCAAATATTTCCTTCAACTGTTCACCTTACGTTTGCTTCTCCCTCCCGTTTGCTCCATCGTAAATGTTTCCTGCTCAGAGTTTATTTAGAACTGTTTCTTCATGATAACAGCTTCCTCCGTATCCGCCTCTCTATGGCTGTTTTCTTTGCTGGCTGGTATCCAGTAGTTACCTCTTACGCCTCTTCCTAGCCCGTTTTGCACGTTCCTGTTACGCGGCGTAACCTTTTAGCATCGTGATCGTCTTTTTTTAACTGTTTACCTCGTTGAATTGTTTCCTTTTTTGCCTTGTGCATATTTCAAGTGTCTCCTACTTAACCTACGAAAGAACTGTTAGCTGAACAGTGCAGGGTCGGGGGTAAAGTGCGGAAGGCTTGGCTTTTTTGGCGTTTTTCGGCAGAACGCTTGGCGCCTAACACTTAGGGTTTGGCTTATATGAGTTGCGCCGCAGACAGTTGACAAACTCGTAGAGTGCCGCACCCGTTTGCGAGACCTGAAGATGCAGTAAGAGCATTTGGGGGTCTCTTTCGTAGTGTTAAACTCTTCCTTCGTCTTCTAAATCAAAGGCATCCATCACATCAGGAGCCAGGGCGTAGGGTATAGAGCCTATGGTTTAGGCTTGCTTGTTTTTCTTGTGGTGCCTTGGGTGCAGATGCGCCCTTAACCAAGCGTCAGCGGATTGGGGTCTTTTTCACCTGAACTCGCCGGGGGCCATACCAGAAGGAACAGAAGAAGCGAATGAGAGGAAAGGTGCATCTTAACCACAGCCTTTTGTTTAAAACGGAAGACTTCCACATAACTCTTCACAAGAAAAACACGCTTACACAGGTTCCTCCCGTCCGCGCAATTACCACGGATGGAAGCGCATAATCCTGACTCTGGTGCTGCTGGGATCAAAACAGTACAGCATCAGGATTCTAAAAATTGAAATTCACAACCACATTATGGTTGTATTTTTCTGTTGTGAATTGCCAACTCGTCTCAGTGACCCAAAGTAGGACTATATATATATATATATATATATATATATATATATAATGTATTTAGTCGAATCCCGCAGGAGTTTCCCGGGGGTTCATGCCGCTGTGCCTAGGATTGCAAAACACTGGAGGGGAAAGCCGGCTGACCTCCACTCCAGTGTTTATGAATCCTAGGCACAGCGGCATTAACCCCCGGGGATGATGAGTTGATGAGGCGGCATCTCTCGAGCTGCAGTGCGTTTTGTTGCAACCGTTGCTGCAGGGGGACAACATCCAGTCCCCCTTTTGCATAAATGAACGGACACTGTTGAGTATTGTTACGCACTTGTTAATCCTAGGCACAGCGGCATTAACCCCCGAGGATGATGAATTGATAAGACGGCATCTCTCGAGCTGCAGTGCGTTTTGTTGCAACCGTTGCTGCAAGGGGACAACATCCAATCCCCCTAGTAGCCAACTTGCACCTAACTTGCACCTAAGGACAGGCTGGCTACATATACATGCATATATATACATATATATGTATATACATAGAATTTGGAAGGCCATGCTCCAAGCCCCTTGTGCCACTGTGCCTCGTGTGCGTGGGGCGCGAAGATGTCATGCTTTTTAGATTTCTTTGTATTGAGTATATTGACTCTATTGGAGCTCAGGTTAGGGTCCTCGGCTAAGGTAGGGGACTCTCGTTGCAGTGGTGAAATTCTACCTAACCCATTTTGAGAGCCCTCTTAGCGTAGAGAGACCTAATGAGACGCATCGCAGGAATGCGCCGCGATGAGCAAAGTTTACGCCAATTAATTCCGTCTAGGACATCTTATTTAATATTTTCTTGCTGGAGCGTTAGTGATGCCAATCGTCCTGACCAACGGCCGATGGAAGCCGCAGTTAAACCAGGAAGCTGCATGCGGGAAAGGCTTTCGAATGCATGGTTGACAGTGCCTGTTCCTTTATTCGTTTGTTGTTAATCCGACGAAAGTCTCTTAAATTAGTTCGAAATTGGAATTAGTTGTTCAGCAGTCACTCCGTCAGGTCACGAGGCCCTAGGCGCTGCGTAGACACCTGTGTTCAGGAGCTCTTCGCTCGTACGCCGGGAGATCCTTCTCTGTTTCTGTCCTGAACTCCGCCTTTGCACTGGCTACGACTGATGCAGAACGAATCTGCCTGAGCCTTTTAGGGGTTGCCGGCGGGGGGATCCCTGGGGGCATCAGCCGGGTTCATGCCATGGGGAACGCCCTAGTATTCGTCATATTTTGTCCTAGAAGGTGCTTTCGCCTGTGAATAGGCTCTTATTCTTTTCGTGGGGCGGTTTCCTGCTGGCAAGAAGCACAGGCGTGTCGGCGGGGCCTTGAGGGAGACGCTACGCTTAAGGGCCCTTGACTTCCCTCCTGCCTCTTGGCTGCTGGCTACGTCGCCAGCGGCATCAGGCTGATCTCAGCCTGATGCCGTTAGAGAACGACAAGGCATCCACTCCAAAAGAGGCCAGGAGCTCCTCGACGGTCACAGGGGGCCCCACCCTGCTCACCCCGTCCCCTCGCGATGAAGGGGCACTCTCTGTTGCAGCAGCAGCAGATGCTGCGCCAATTTCCCCTGCAGGGGCTGCTGTTGCTGCCGAGGGAGATGAGCTGCTAAGGCGCATGCAGTCAGTCCTAGAGGAGGATGACAGCGTAGACATGCTGTTGCCGTCCCTCTCTGCCATCCCCGTGTTGCCATCCACAGGCGACGCTGTCGCTTTTGGCGGGGTAGCTGCCGCGACACAGGCCCCTGATACCAGTGGAAATCTTTCTGGTCTGTTACGCTGCACAGCCCTCAACAGAGGCAGCAGCTGCGGAGATCCAACAGCAGCTGCAGATGACCCGGACGCCAGGTCCCGCAATCTTGGATTAGGGCTTGCTGCCCTGCACAAGCTGCAGCGACGGCAGCGCTTGGCGCAGGGACAGCAACAGCAAGTGCAACAACAACGGCGACAGAATCTGTCGGATTCTGTAACAAACCATGATACACACACAGAGCAAGCGAGCCAACACTTGAACTCGCAGCAGAAACAGATGATGCAACAGCAGCAGCAGCCCATAGTTTCCTCTTCATTACATATTGGGGAACCTTCCCAGTACGCTAGAGAAGCCTCCACCGACAGCAGTGACGAAGCGAAGGGTGGGATGGCTCAACAGCAGAGAGAACTGCAGAAACAGCAACTGCAGCAGGAGAAACGGCAGCAACAGCAGGACGAGGAACGGCAGCAACAGCAACTACAGTTGGAACAAGGTCGGGGGTTCGGCGATTTCCATTTCCCGGATCTTTCAACCACTTCAACAACGGTGAATGCTACAGCAGAACTGGATGCAGGACCACCAGCAGCAGCAGCCAAAGCTGCGGCTGCTCCTGCTGAAGCAGAGCCCCCAGCAGGTATGGAGATTGACGAAGTGAGGACACCGGTTGCCGCCACAGCAGCATCAACAGCAGCAACAGGGGTACCAGCAGTAGCAGTGGCAGCGGCAGAGATGGGCACAACAAGGGGTTTTTATTCTTGTGCTGCCGAAGCTGCAGCCGCAGCTGATGCTGCTGCATCAGGTTCCTGCTTGCATACTGCTGCGCCTGCGCAACAGTTGGTGCTGGATGGTTCCACAGATCAGCAAGAGCGCTGGCCGTGGGACCCTCCTCTTTCTAGAGTAGGCGGCTGCCTTGAGGATAAGGCAGGAACTGGCACAGGAAGCGCAGCACTGGCAGCAGCAGCTTCACCAGAAGTAGCTGCTTCAGCAGTAGCAGCAGAAGCAGGTGTAGGAGAAGCCGCTGAGTTAACATCAGCAGTAGACGGGAACGTGGGCCGGACAGGAGGCACAGCAAACCTTGCTGCTGCTACTGCTGCATCTCTGCCTCCCCTTTCCGCAGAAGAGGAGGTTGCGCTGATGGCTGCAGGGGGCTTGCATGGCCCTGAGGAGGCAGCAGTAGTTGCGGAGGCGGAAGCAATGGGGGAGTTTGTGCACAGTTTGCAGCAGCAGCTGCGGCAGTTGCAGCAGCAGCAGTTGCAGCAGCATCAGCAGGGGCTTGAGCATGTCGATAGCCGGCCTGCTGCTGTCGAGGCGCTGGGTAGAATAGAGGAGAGGCTGCGCATGGCATTAGAGGCGGTCGATGCGGATGTGGCAGCGCTGCAGCGGGAGGCCGCAGCAACAGCAGCAGCAACGGTAGCCTTCGCGTCGGGGGCTGCTGAAGACCCCGTGCAACAGCAGCAACAGCAGCAGCAACTGCAGCAGCGCGAGACGGAAGCCTCGCATGGCGACGAAGGAGAGATTGAAGACGATGATGGCTTTAAGAGTGTAGACGTTTTAGACGGATCTAATGTAACAGCCGCAGCAGCGGGGGGCCCAGCCGCGTGCGGAGCCGTACTGTGGTCCCACCCATGCAAAGCACTGCTGCGGGCGGCGCTGCAGTCAGCAGGGCGGCAGCTGCCCAGAGGCAAACGAAAGGGGGCTCGGGGAACCCCAAGGGAATGGGGGGAGACACAGCGACATCGGCCGCCGCTAGACGTTTTGTGCCTGGCAGCTTCGCAGACCAAGGCAGAGTGCAGCCTTACTCCAGAAGAGGCTGCTGCTGCAGCTGCTGCTGCGGCAGCCATTGCAGCGACAGCTGCAGCTAGCGGGTCCGAGGCTGCCGCTGCAGCAGCAGCGGCAGCAGAGGCACTGCTGCCAGTGGGTGTAGCAGCCGCAACAAGTGAAGGTGTGAGAAGGGTCCCATGGCTGCCCGCTGAGGGCCCCATGTTTGATAGTTTGGCTGCATCGAACCAGTCGCAGGCCTTTGCTGCTGGGTTACCGCTGCTGCGAGAGATCTGCCGCGTTGCCACTGTGGAGTTGCGCGTCCCGCAGCCTCCCGGCGTCGCTGCTACTGCTGCTGCTTCCCCGGGATATTTCGCTGCTGCTGGTGAGCCCATCGGTATTGCCGGCCTGCGGCGACTTGGACTACCCGGAGAGCAGCAACTGCATCGGAGAGGACCCCTCTGGGTGCCGCCTCCCCCACCAGAGGACGAGGAGGAGGGCCCCGCCCTCCGTACTGCTGCTGCTGCTGTATCTGCTGCATGCAACGAGCAGCTCGTGCTCTTCCTTAGGCGAGACCTCTTCCCGCGCGAGCTCCTGCAGCAGCTCCAGCAGCAATCAGTGTGCTGCATAGCGCAGTTGCTTCTGCCACCTGGATATGAGGAAGGGGTGCGCCACCAGGTCACACCTACCCCAGACGGCGGAGGCACCCAGGGACCCCTCCATCCTATCCTGAGGCTGCAAAGACTTCGCTCGCATCGAACAACTTCTGCGGCGAATCCGGCAACGGCAGAAGCAACAGGAGCAACGGCCGAAGCCAGCGTGGGAGGAGCAACAATCGCAACTGGAACAGAGGCAGCAGGAGCGGCAGCAGCAACGAGGCCGAGTTTGGAGGAGGCGACTGGGGTCCCGGATAGGAAATGCGGGTCTCCTTTGACTGTGGATGACGCTCTTAAGTTCATTAGCAAGCAGCAGCGACGGCAGCAGCATGCGCTCGAGCAGCTGCTTCAGGAGCTGAAGTGTTTGTGTCGAGGCATTTCAATGCAGCAGCTCGTGTTGCTGGCCTCTATTGTAGACTCTGTCAGCGCAGCAGATGCAGCCGCAGCAGCGGCAGCAATTGGGGACCCCGAGGCTGCCGTGTTCTCAGATGAGAACAGGGAATCAGGCACCCATGTAGCGGGATCAGCAGCAGGTTCGACAGATAGCGGAACTGAGAAACAGCAGGAGCAGCAGCAGCAACAGCAGCTGTTGCGGCTGCAGAAACTGCACGAGTGGCTGTCTTTGTTCCCACGTTACGGGGTGTCGGCGGGGCGTGCAGTGGCTCTGCTGGCAGCAGCAGCGGAGCAGCAGCAGCAGCAGCATCAGCCTGAGGGGGAGCCCGTAGATATTCAGCTCACCTTTAGCAGCCTCATGCCGTATCCGGATGAGGATCCTGGAGTGGTTGTTGCCTTTGCTTTCCCCTATAAGCGAGGGCCTCAGGATCAGCCGTGGACTTGGGACCTGCGGCTGCTGGAGGGGGGCCCCCGCGGGTCGTATGGGCCCCCTGAAGGCCCCCGCAGCGTCCAAACAGTGCAGCAGCAAATATCACAAAGGCAGCAGCGCCTTACGTTTCTGCTGCGCCAACAAAGGATCGTCTGTAAGGCAATGTACAAAGCCTGGAGGAGGTGAGTGGCTTCGGCTGGGGTCTGCATTGGGGTGTGCTTATGGTTGTGATTCTTGAGGGCATTTGCTTAGGTGGGACTTGGTTGTTTAGTCTGGTGCGTACTCATTTTGGTTTATGTTGCGTTTGGTATTGCATTTTCACGGGCCCAAGTCCGTGAGGCCTGCTTCATAGTAATCTGGTGGTTTGGCATCGACTGCGTGTCTATATTAGTGGCGGGTACTGAACTTATACCTGCTTATATCGTGAATATGAAAACAGCAGACACAACAATTTCAATGGCTCTGTACCATGGCTTACCTCCTTGCATTTGTTTGTTTCGTATGGGTTTGTTTGCCTTCCTCTTTGCATGCATCCGTTGCATCGCCTTTTTCCGTTTGTTTATCTGCAGCTGGCGGCGCCAGATGGAGAAGCGGCGGCTATTGCTGGGAGATGCCTTTGGCTGGGGAGTGCTGCCGGTGCGGGCCTTAGACCACCCGTCACTTTTGATGGCGCTGCCTGCGGGCTTCCGGCAAGGGAGCCCGAAGGAACCCTACGAGAAACAAAGTCAACGGGAACATGCTGAAGAGGCCAATGCTACTGCCAGCGACCGCAGCAATCCAAGGCGGCAAACCGACGCTTCTGGTCGGAGGCGCACAGGCAGACTAATGCATGCATTCGCGCGCACACGCACCCACCCACACACGCACCCACCCACCCACCCGCCCAC